ATTTTTGTTTTTTATTTTTTTAATGATTAATTTATTTTTTTTTTTTGTGTTTTTTTCTCTTTGATAGATATCAACAACTATTATTGTAGGGTTTTTTTTTTATTCAAAATTTAACATGTTACTACCTTCATTATTTATAAATCATAAAAAAAATATTAATTTGAAAGATAATTATTTAAATGATCATTTAATAAAATGTTATAACTTGCCTTCATATATAAACGAAAGCATATTTGACTTTTTTCTTCATTTGCAAAATGATGAAAGTTTTGAAATAAAAAAAGTAATTAAACCAATAAATGAAGAAACAAATTTTTATCCATGGAAAATAATATGTAATGAAAATTTTGCAAACTTTTTATTAAAAAAAAAAAGAGCTTTAGTTTTTAATGATTCTTTAAATAATAAGATTTTTATAAAGTTATCCTTTAAGAAAAAAAATAACAATGAAAATGTAAATGAAGATTTTTTTAAAAATGATGAAACATTAATAAAACAAAATAATATATTAGAATTAAAAGATAAAAAATCAGAAGAAAAAATATTTGACTTAAATAATTCCTGTAATGAAAATAAGATAAATTTAAATAATGAAAATGAAAAAAATCAAGAATTAAAATTTCAAAGATGTTCTGAAAATAGTGAAGAAAGTTTTCATGAAATAATAAATGAGGAAAAAAAGAATGAAGAAAGAGATATAAATAAAATTGAAATAGAAGATAGTCAAATATATACGAAAGAAAAAGACAAAAATATAAATGAATTGGAATATTATGAATATTCTGATGACAATAATGATGAATATTATGATGATGATGAAGACCAAAACTATTATTATGATGATGATGATGATGAAAGTTTTAATGAAATTGATTATAAAAGTTTTTATGATGATGATAGTGAAGATAATAGTGAAGATCATGATAATATCTTTAATTCAGAATATGATATTAAAAGAAATGATGAAAAAAAAAATTTAGTAAATAATAAATTATTAGAAGAAAATAATGTAAAGGAGTTTCCCGATTTAAATATATATGAAAGTTATAAAAATGAAAAAAATAACAAGAATCATAACATATCCAATATAGATATTAAAAATAATTATTTATTAAATTATTGTGATAATAATAGTAATAATAATAATACATTGAAAGATATAGATGATAATAAAATAAATAATGAGAATTTATTATCAAATAGTCATAGCTTATTTGTAATAGATAAGAAAGAAACAAATAATTCTATAATTAATATTTCAAATTTTAATAAAAAACAAAAATGTATAATTAATTTAAATGATCATTTAAGTTCTGAAAAGAGTCTTTCTTCATTAAATTATAAAATTAATAATTCAAAAAAATTCCTTAATCAAGAGCAAAATGAAAATTTAAATAATTTTAATCCAAATAATAAAATAATGTATACAAATAACATAGAAATAAATGATGTAAAAAAAGAATCAAACAGTTATACAAATACATCTGATACAAAAAGTGGGAGTGAAGTGAAAAGTAATTACAGTTCAATGAAGATTTATGATTTAAATATATGCAATAGTAAAAGTAATATTTTTAATAAAGATGATAAAAATTTTATCAATGAATCTGAAGAATGTGAAAAGAATTATTATGTAAAAAAAGAGTGTAGTTTGAAAATTTTTACATATAAAGAAAAACAAGATTTGCAGAAAATAAATAAAAATAAAATAAAAAATACATTTGAATTACATGGATTTGAAGATATGAGTAATGGGGAAAATATATTTATAGAAAATATGAATAGGAAAAAAAGGAAAAGGAAAAATCAGTATGTTAACAAATTTTTTATATATTTTTATAAAGGGAGTATAGATGAAATAATAGACGATATAAGAGAAGAGGATAAAAATAAAATATCAAGTAATATTCAAATAAAAAAGGAAAATAACAAAATATGTTTAAATGATGATAATATTGATAACAAGAATGATACAGTAAAAGATTCTTACTTAATAAAACAGGAACAAGAAATTCAAGTTGATAAAAAGAAAAAAGAAAAGGATCTACAAAAGCAAAGAGTAGATAATGAAAAAGATGATCTTTATAATATAGTAAAAGAAGAAGAAGAAGAAGAAAAAGAAAAAGAAAAAGATAAAAATAGTGAAAAGAAAAAAGATATAGAAAGTTGCATAAAGCATAACAATTTTTCATTAAATGAATTAAATAATTATAGAAAAAATGAATGTAATAATAATAAAATAAAAGACGTAAAAATTTGGCCAAGACATTTATATTGGAAAGAAATATCAGATGAAGTTAAAGAAAAATTTTGTGTTGTTATAAAAAATAAACCACCACAATGGAATGAATATGAATTACAAGAATTTCTAGAATCACAATTTTCTAATAAAACTTTTATACCAAAATTTGAATATATATTTATTACAAAATCATTCCCTACAATAGCCACTATTGCTTTTAAAGATGAAATATCAAAAAAAAAATTTTTAGAATTACAAAAATTAAAGTTACCATCATCACAAAAAAATTATAATAATGATTATAATAATTATAATAATAGTAGTAAATATAACAACAATTATAATATTAATAATAGTAAATTTTCTAATTTTTTAGTAATTCAAGAATATATGATATCTAATAGTTCTAATTACTTGAATAATAAAAAAAATGGATATGAAAAAAATGAATCCTTTTTTAATTTTCAGTTAAAAAAAAAAAATAAAAATTATGAAATTTCAAATGGAGAATCTTCAAATAATATAGATGTTTCTTTGAATAAATATAAAAATTATGTTTTTAACACAACTTCTAATTTGCATTCAAACAACAAAAAAAACATTGCATTACATGATAAAAATAACATTTACAATAAATTAAATATTTATAATAAATTTTCTTATAATTAGAAAAACTAAAAATCTAAAGAATTATAAGAATTAACTATTTTGAATAATTAATATATTTTTATTCATTTTTTATTTTATTATATTTTTTTTTTTTTTTTTTTAATATTTATATTAAAAATAATAATAAAATTGAAGATATATATATATATATGTATGTATATATATATTCACTTCATTAGAAGTCTATATTAAATTTTTTACGAATATTTTTAAAATTTCATTATTAAAAATGCAATGTAATTAAAAAAAAAAAAAAAAAATGATTTTTGTGTAATATTTATATTATTTTTATTTTTTTTTTAAATAATTTTTAGTTTTATATATATATATATATTTTGCAAGAGTTAATAATTATGAATTATTAAATCTATATATTAAAATAATAGTATATTTATTAATATATTACTTTTCTTTTTTATATTTATAAACAAATATTTTGATATATTTGCGTTGTTTATTTATTTATTTTTATATAGTTAAACTTTATTTTTTTAAAATAGTTTTTAAAAATACCTTTATATTACTATAGATATTCATATATGAAAAATATATTTTTTATTGCAACATGTTATTAATTTTACTATTTGCATTTTTTTTTTTTTTTCTTCAACATACTGTGTAATTACATTTAAATTTCCAATAAAATGTTTTGTTCTATTTTTTAATTTTTCATATGTTGGTTTTAGGCATTATTTTTTATCTTAATTATTTTTTTTTTAAAATAAAATTATTTTAGTTATTTTTACTAAAATTACATATACTATAAAAAAAAAAAAATGTTAAAATAAAAGAAAAATTAACATATATATATATATATATATATATATAAAATTTTTTTTTAATAATATCAATAAAAACATTGTTATCCTTAAAGTAAATAATAAATTAATAATTCAATTTTAAATTATTAAATTTTTGTCTAATTAAATTTTCTGATGTCTATATGTCATATGAATAATAAAAATTATTTCTTTGTAGAAAATTTTTATAAAAAATGAAATATCCCTTTTTTTTTGTACTTCTTTTTATATATTTGTTTAGCTACTTTTGCAATTGTGAAAAAGTAAAGAAAAATAAAAATTTAAGAAATTTATTAAAATCATTAACAAATAGAGTGGATACAGATGATGGAAAAAATGAATATTCTCGTTTAACTCAGTCTCCAAAAATAGAAATGAAATTATCTAAAGCAAATTTCAAAACAACATTGCAAAATATCCTTATTCAATCATATTCAGAAAATGTTAAAGAATTAATTTCAAAAACTAATTATGAAATACAAAAAGAGAAATCATTACTAGATGAAATAAATAATTCTAATTTTAATTTAAATAAAATAGCTGATATACTTTCAGGAAGTACTAATATAAAGAGAAGTAATAAATTGAGAAATAAATATTCTCATTATTTAGGAGATAACGATTTGGGATTAATTTTCCTTCCAATATACAAAACATTTAAATCAAATTCATCACATTTTAATAATAATTTATATTCCTCTTTATTACCCCATGAATTATTAGAAAAAGGTTATTTATCAAATGAACAAATTTTAAGAAATTCACAAAAAAAACTTTTATTTCCTGAAAGAGGAGATATCACTTTAGAAATATAAAATTATTTTTTTTTTTTTTTTAAAAGATAACATATTTTATAACTATATAAATACATTATCTTTCTTTTTTGTCTAAAAAAATTAATTATAGAATTTTCTTTCATATTTTATCTTAATTTATATTACTACTGATATTATTACTTTAAAATTTTTGTAACTTTTTTTTTTTTTTTTTTAACAATTTAAATTATTATATATATTCCTTTTTTTGTAGAAAATTTTGAATTCTTAAAAAAAAAAAAAAAAAAAAAAAAAATTATTAAATAAATAAAAAATAATTGTATGAAATGGTATATAAATTAAATATATTGAATAAATTTAAATACACTATAAATGATGTAAAAAAAAAAACAATTAAAATTCTTAAAAATTAAATTCATTTTATTTTATGACATAAATTTTTTTTTTTTTTTTTTTTTTTTTTTTGAATATATATATCTCAAAGAAAAATAAATAAAAAAAAAAAAAAAATTTTTTTTTTTTTTTCTTGTATAATGATTTATTTTAATGTATATAAGAATTACACTAAAAAATTTAAAAAGAATGAGATAGTAAAGTATGAAAATTTAAGTATGTTTTAAGATTATCATATATATATAAAATAAAAATGGTTTATTTTATTATTAAAAAAAAATTAAGTGTATAATATTAAAAATAAGGAAAAATAAAAATGTAAAATAATAGAAAAATGAAAATGTAAAAAATATGTTTTTTTTTGGTACATATTTTTTATTTTTATATATTTTAATTTTATATTTCAGTATTCCAATATTCTCAAATAAAATAAATAGAACTTACAATGATAAAATATATTTCAATTTTATAAACAATTTTTATAAATATAAATTAAATAGAAGCAAAAAATTAAATGTATTGATTAGTTCACCGGCTCAAATAAAATTATCAGAAATAGAAGATAATAGAGATAGAAGTGGAAAATATTGTGTAATTGAAATATGCGGAAAAATAAGATGGGTTGAAGAGGGTAGATATTATGATTTTTTTAGAATAAAACAAGAAGAAAACAAAAAAATATATTTAAACAGAGTATTTTTTTATAATAATGAAGAAGGTAAATTATTTTTTGGTAATCCTTTTCTAGATAACGTGAGAATTAAAGCTACAATAGTAAATCATTTTAGAGGAAAAAAAATATATAGATTAAAATTTAAACGAAAAAAAAATTATAAGAAATTTTATGGTTTTAGGCAAGAAATGACAAGAATTCTTATAAATAAAATTGAATGTAATAATGAGTTGATTGGAGAAGGATCAAGGAAATTTAATTTTTTCAAAGATGATTCTATATATTATATACTGAATCGTATTCATAATATAGTTAAACCTAGTTCTGAATTAAAATACTTAAAAAGACATTTTATAGATTATTTAAATTCATTTTGCTCATTAAAATTCGAAACATTTTATAAACATAGAGGAAATTATAAAAAGGAAAAAATGCTTAAAAATATATTAAAAACGAAAAAATTAAGTAAAAGACCAGAGGTAATTGAAGAAGTTAAAAAAATTGAAGAAGAAAAAAGAAATAAACGTTTAAATAAGATTGACCCTTTAGAAGATTTTGATCCTGTTGCTAATGAATCTATGATAAAAGAAAATTTTTACGTGTAATTTTTTTATTCTATATTTTATTTAAAATATACATAATTATTATAAAAATTTTACATTATCACATGTCTTGATTTTACTTTTTGTAAAACTTTTATACATATAAATATATATATATATATATATTAGTTTTTTTTTTTTTTATTGAAATTTCAAACAAATATTGAATTATTTTTTTTTATAATAATTGCATATTTTTTTTTATATGAGAATATATATATTATTAATACATTTTTTTTTTTTAGTATATTTTCACAAAATATTATTTTTTTTTTTTTTTTTTTTTTTTTTATAAATTCAATATAATTTCACATTAAAAAACAATAAAAAGGGAAGAATACTAACATTTTTAAAATAATCATATATAACATAAAATTATTAGATCCTTAATTTTTTTTTTTTTTTTTATTTTCTTTATAATTTAATTAATTTAAATTTAATTTATGATTTTTTTCTTTTCTAGGAAAAGGCCTTTCAAAATATAATAATTTGGTTATTTTATAAATGACAGAAATGCTTATATTTTTTGTGTTTATACCGTAAAATTTTAAAGCTCTTTTAAATTTTACATTTTTAAGAAAAATATTAATTAATTCTTGATCATTTAAATTCATATCACTTTTTTTAATTAATCCTAATTTTAACGATAACTCTTTTAAAAGAAAGCTTTCATTTGTCATAGTACTTAGCAAATATTCCATATTGTTTTTTAAGTTGATTTTATTATGATTTTCAGTTTTTTCATATGATTCCAATTCATTTATGTTTTTTTCATTAAATGTGTTTAATTCCTTCAAATGATCATGCTCATGTGTTAATTTTTTTACATTCATAATTTCATTATTTATAGCAGTAGTACTTTCTTTTTTTTTATAAAAATCGTTAATCCATTTATCTGGGTAAATATTAGCATATCTGTAACTTTTTATTAAAAAATCTATATCTTTACTTTTATCTTTGTTGGAATTTTTTTCATCTTCTAAGATTTTCTCTAAAAAATTATTTTCAATAATATTATCATTCCCTCCATATAAAAGGAAAAAATCTTTTTTATTATCCAAATTTATAAAGTCATTCTTATCCTCTATATATTCTGTACCTTCTTTCTTTTCCTTCTTATAAGATTCATCATCTTTATTTATTATATCTTCATCATTTAATAAAATGTCTTCACTTTTTTCTGATTTTATTTCTTCCAAGTCATCCAATTCTATCATTTTTTTGTTTCTCTTCCTTTTATAATATCCTTGTACCTACATATAAAATATATATATATATATAAATATATATAATTTTTAAAATTAATATAAAAAAAAAAAAAATAATAAACTATTTATTTTTACTTCATATGATGCATATTTATATGCTTCTAGATCATCATTTTTTTTATTTTCCTTTTTTTCATAATATTCTTCATAATGTTCATTATTTTCTTCATTTTCCTTAGGGTTTGTTATATTCATATTTTTGTTTTTCGTTGTAATTTTATTTATTTTTAAAAAATTGATATTTTTTACATTACTGATATTATCACTGTTATCATTTACATTGTTCTTTTTTTTTAATAATTTTTCTAGTCTATTTTTTTGTAAAATATTACCTATATTTATAGCTTTATTTATAATTTCATCAACATTTATTTCATTTTTATTTAAAGAATTCGAAAGTTCATCACTTTTTATTTTCACTTCTTTTTTGTTTACCATTTCTTTATTATTCTCATTAAAATCGCTTATGCATTTTTTTTGTATTACTTTCTCTGTACTATATAAATTTTTTTTAAGAACATTATTTTCTTCAATTAAATTTTTATTCATAGTTTTATTTAAAATATCTTGCTTTTCTTTTTTTTTTTTTTTTTTAGAGTTTGTAATTTCTTTAGGAGAATCTACATATGTAGTTTGTTCATTTGTTTCTTTTTCACAATTTATAAAAGTATTAATATAATTTTCTATATTATCATTATAATTGTTTTCTTTACATTCTATATTATTAGAAATATCAGTAATATTTTTTTCTTCATTGTAATTTCTTTCATTCACTTTTTCATTTGTAACTTTTTTAGTATTTTCATTAATATTATTAGCATCATATTTTGCACCTAAAAAATTGTTTTCATTAAATATATCAAAATTTTCTGAATCTAAAAGTTTATCATATTCATTAAAATCATCTAAATTTTTATTCAATAAACTATTTTTGAATTCTTCATCATCATAAATTTCTACATTATCCAACATTATACTTTCTTTACTTCCAAAATAATAATACATTTTTTCTTCCCATGTTTTGATATCTTCACCAAATAGTTTTGATGCTTCTTCTAAGCATTTTTCATCATCATCCATTAAATTTAAATTTATATCTTTACTTAAAATATATTTCAAATTTTTTCTTACATTAAAATATGAATCATTTTCATCTTGATTATTTCCGTCTATTTCATGATCTTCCAAGAGATTATTTTCTTCATTTTTTTTCAGAATATTATCTATCATTTCTTCATTTTTGTAAGAATTTTCTTTTTTCTTGTTTTTATGCAAATCTAAAATATCTTTCATTTCATTACTTTCATCTTTATCTTCCCCTTCATTTTCACCTTCATCCTCATATTCATTTTCATCTTCATTTTCATCTTCATTTTCATCATCATTTTCATCTTCATTTTCATCCTCATATTCATTTTCATCTTCATTTTCATTTTCATCTTCATATTCATATTCATTTTCATCAAATTCATATTCATGAAAATCATCTTTTAATTTTCCATTTTCATTTTTGTCAAAATTATGTTTTTTTTCAATATTCTTGTAATAATTATCTTTAATTTCATCATTTTTTAAAATTCCCAATTTCTGTTCAATTTTGTGATGAATTTTATTTTTTTTTTTGTCATTAATATTATTTGTATTATTCTTATTATGTTGACTAATAACATCCTTTTTTATATTAGCTAAATTTTTTTTAAGGTATAATAGAGTAGGTATATTTTCTTCTTCTAAATTACTACTATTTACAGTATTCTTCATATTATATACATCTTGAAAATGATTATTATTATTTATGTAATCTGTATCTTCTTCATATTCTTTAGTTTCCTCAAAATTTTTAAAATTCGTGGATAATAAATCAAAATCAAAAGTATTTTCTTTATGTAAATTGTCTATATTATGTTGAAGTTTATTTTTTGTAGTTGATATTTTTGCTTGATCATCTTCTTTTTCACCTATAATTTGTTTTCTGTAATTTTCAATTTCTTCTTTTAATGTTTTATTTTTTTTTTTGAAGAATTCAAAACTAATATCATCATCTCCTTTGCTAGATGTTGCACCAATTTCTTCAAAAAATTGTTCATTATTTGCATTATGCTCAAACATTTCTTCATAGTTACTGTTAGGTGAACTAAGTTCATTAAATTTTAAAATAAATGGAGTAAATTCACTTTTTTTTAAATGTTTTGTATTTTTCATTTCATCTAATTGTTTATTCTTTTCAAATAAGTTATGTACATTTTTTTTTTTTTTTTTTAATTCGTTGTATTTTTTAATATAATTAATCATATGATAATTTTGAGTTATAAAAGATGAACAAGGAATATATTTATTTTGTTCTTTTAATGTCTCTTGTTGATTTAAAATTCTTAAGCAAGCCTCTTCTTGTATATTATAAAAGCTAACTTCTATTCTGTTATTTAATATATCAATTTTTCTGATTTTCAAATTTTTAAAATGATCATTAATTTCTATCTTTTTTTTTTTTGCATTATTAAAAAAACACTTAGGATCTTTATTATAATGTCCTAAATTTAAAAATGCAAGAGTTTTACAACCAATATCTAAATAAGCACCCTCTTCATTGATGAATTTTACAACTCCACTTACTTCATCTTCAATCTTATAATCAGTTATTTTCTTTAATTTGACATTTTTTTTTTCTTCCTTAATATACATTAAATCATTTGTATCATTATTTATTCCAAACTTCAATCCTAAATCATTTTTAATTTCTCCAATATTATTTTTTAAACTTTTGTCTAATTTAACTGTTTCCTCCTCCTTTTTATTTTTTAACTTATCATCACATTTTAATATATTAACTTTTCTGTTTTTTATATTTTCTTGTTCCTTTGTGCTTTCATATTTATTTTTTAATATACCTTTATCTTCAAATGTTTTTTCTAATTTGTAATCGTAATTTGTTTTATATTTATAATTGTCCTCACAATTATTTCTCTCATTGTATTTATCTTTGTATTCATATTCATCATCTTTACATTTATTTTCTGATTCATTTTCTTCTTTTATTTCTTCTTTCATTTCTTCTATCATTTCTTCTTTCATTTCTTCTTTCATTTCTTCTATCATTTCTTCTTTCATTTCTTCTTTCATTTCTTCTTTTATATTTTCTTTCATTTCTTCTTTCATTTCTTCTTTCATTTCTTCTTTCATTTCTTCTTTTATTTTATCTTTTCCCTCTTCTCCTACTACTTCTTTTAGATTACAACTGTTGTAAAATTTTTGCAAATTCTTTTTCAAAATTTTTATTTCTTCTTCATTATCTGTAACTTGTATAATTTTGTTTTTTCTATGAATATAACATATAACCACATCAATATATTTTCCTATTTCATATTTTTTTTTTATTTGCGCTTTATCATTAAAATATCTTTTAATATATAAGTGAGCAAAGTGTATTGAATTAATATCTAGTTTAATTAAGTGATTTTCTACATGAACGATCTTCCCTTTTAATTCATCACCTAATTTGTAAAAATCAATAGGTAATTTATATTTATGTCTGCATAATTTTGTTTTTCTCTTTAATTCTTCCTCTTCTTTCATTTTTTCTTTAATTTTATCAAATAAATCATATTTCCATCTTTTTAGTAAAATTTTCTTTTTAGGTAATTTTTGTATATATGTAACAGAATTATTTTTTTTTTTTTTTTTTTCTTCTTTATATTTTTCTTCCTGTTGTTCATTTAAAGTTGTGAAAAATTCAAAAAGATCATTTGTATTATATATTTTTTTATTTGTTTTTCCATTTCTAGTAATTTTTACATAATTAGGAATAGACTTAATATAGGAATATTTTCTTATTAGTTTACATTTTAAAGAAGAAATAAACAATATAATGAATATCAAACATCTCATTTCTTTTTCATATTTTTAAACTCCACATATATATATATATATATATACATCAATCATTTATTTTACTTTGTACATACGTATATGAACTTTTATATATATATATATATATATATTGATCATGTTATTTTTTCTTTTAAATTAAAAAAAAATGTTCTACTTTTTTAGAGTGTCATGTTTTATTTATAATGTTTTTAGAATGTCTACAATATATTTTCATTATGATAAATATAAAAAATTAGTTAATCTTTTTGGAGAAAAAACAAAAATATTTTAGATATATTAACTATTATCATTAATAATAAAATTCAAACTTATATTTTTGTATAAAATATGTTTTTTCTAATTATATTACCCAATTTTATTTAAATGATCCCATTTTTAAACTATTGAAATATATGTAAGCATATTATTTTTTCTTTCTTTTTTTTTTTTTTTTTCTTAATTATATATTATTCAATTTTCTGTTTGCATATATATTTTTTTTTTTATGCCTTTAAACCTTAATTAAAAATTTGAATTTTTTTCTTTTTATATTTTTTGTTTTCCTTTTAAATAGTATATTAACAATACTCAGGACAAATATATAATAAAAAAAAAAAAAAACTTATATTTTCATATAAATGAAAAGATTAATTATTTTTAATTAAAAAAAGGTAAAAAAAAAAAATAAAAAAAAAAAAAAAAATCTTAAAATGGTTTAATAATTTTTAATAGAAAGAACAAACATCATATAATAATATACCTATCAATTTTTTTGTTAAATTTCATAAAACAAAAAAAAAAAAAAAAAAAAATCTTTTTTTTTGCATAATCATTAATAACATTAGAATATGTAGTATTTACAAAAAAAAAAAAAAAAAAAAAAAAAAAAATCTTTTTTTTTGCATAATCATTAATAACATTAAAATATGTAGTATTTAAAAAAAAAAAAAAAAAAAAAAAAAAAAAAAAACACACAAAGATTTTTGCTTAAAAATTAAATACAAAAACAAGTAGATAACAAAAAAATAATAATTATATATATATATATGAAAGAAAATTATCAATAACATGAATTCCTACAAAAAAGGAGAATAAATTGGAAATAAATATTAATAACAAAATTATTTAAAAATTATATTTAATTTATAAAATCAAAGAAAATAAGAATAAAAAAAAAAAAAATTTATAAAAGTTGCATACACAAGAATATAAATATAACAAGAATCTTTATGAAAACATTAAAAAAAAAAAGAAAAGGAAGGTAAAAAAAAAAAAAAAACAAAATAAAGAATATGAAATTATTATTAAAATTATAATTATATTCTTACTTAAGGAAACTTAAATTATCTCATTTTTTTTTTTTCTATTTCTTTTTTTTTTTTATATGTTTTATTATTATATCGTTTATATTATATTGCAAATATAGTATTCCTAAAATAACTAAAAAAACACCAAAAGAAAATGAAATAGCATTTATAGCTTTTAATTTACAATCCTTTAACTGCATAATAATAGTAGATAAACTACTGAAAAAAACAATATTAGACATAATTAAAGGAATAACTGAAGTAACATTAAAATGAGATAAAGATACATTTAAAAAAATTAATTGATTAGATAAGCAAAATAAAGCTAAGAATATTAAAAAATAAGAAAGAAAATTTTCAAACATATAAAACTTCTCTTGTGAAAATACTCCTATTATTTGTTCAAAAAATATATTAACTAATCCCCCAGATATTCCACACAAAAAACCACAATAAATTCCATAATATATAGTCTCAGTATAAATTTTTTTGGATTTTGATGGTATTTTGTAAATAGCTGTTATAAAAGACATATATTGCAATTGATTAATATTACTATTTCCATCATCATCATTATTAATAACATTATCATCACTATTATTAATATTATCCTCATTATTAATTATATCATTATTAATATTGTTGTCATATTCATTTATTGTGTTATTTAATGAAGTATCGTATTTTTTTACAAGATGTTTTAAAGGAATATCATTTCTTTCATTATAATCATCATTTTTACTTATTTTTTCCTTTTTTTCCTTTTTTTCCTCACTATTTTCTTTGTTTATTCCATTTAGACAAATATCAATTTCATTATTATCTTTACGTTGCAACATTAGAATATCATTTTCTTTATCTATTTCAATTATTTTACTATCATTGGTACTATGACCATCTATATAATAATAAGACTCTTTCTTTTTTACATATGGATCATTTTTTTTTCTTGTTTTATTTTCATTATAATCTAAATTTTGTGAATCACTGTACAATAATAAAGGGTTATTATTATGAATTATATATTTTTCTTCATCATTTCTGTCACTAATATTTGATTCATTTTGAAAAAAATCATTATAATTCAAACTACTATTTTCTTTTTTTTTAACTGTATTTTTATTCATTTTATTATTTAAAATTAAGCAAAATCTATTTCTCTTTTTGTTTCTTAATTTTCTATCTTTTTTTTTAAATAGTGGATATTTGTATTTCTCTCCTTTTTCATTATAGTTCTTTTTTAGATTAAATATATTACATAATTTATGATCTTTAGAATATTTTTTACAAATATTTTTTTTTTTCGTAAGTTTAGTTGAATCATATTTTTTTACTTCCCTAAAGTTTGATTCAAATAATTTATTTTTAGTTAGTTTTATAATAGAATCTTTTGAGTAAAAGTTATTCATTAAATTAATGTAAATTTCTTGTTTATTTATAACTACAATACTATTATTTGGTAGAGAATTTAAATTTTCTATTATTTTTTTATTCATTTGATTATCTAAATTACTTTTATCGTCAGATTTAAATAAAAAAGATGAATTATTCTTTCTAATAAATATGTTTTCATCATTATTATATGTTTTGTCAACATTAAAACCTATTAAATTATCATTAGTATTTTTATTACTATTAGAATAATGAATTGAATTTTCATAATAATTTTTACTTCTATGAAGAAATTTTTTTTCGAATGATTTGGTATCTATTTTAATTTTTTGAACAAAAGAATTGGTATATAATTTTTTAGAGGGAGTAATAACTAATTTTCTAGAATAAAAAAATTTTAACTTTTTGAGGTATTTCGATTTATCCATGTTATGAAAACACAAAGGAATTAAACACAAAATTAATAAAATGAATATTACAGAAAAAACACAAATTAGATAAATGATAACTTTTGTTTGACTGTACATACTGATTAAATAATTCATATTCTTAATATCCACTTTTTTTTCTGAAAACGTATTAATTATAACTATACCACATATTAAAAATATACTACCCATATACTGATGTAATTTTGTTCTTATTTTTAAACATATATTTGTTATAATAAGATTCCATAATATATGAACACCAGCAAAAGGAGTAACTAAAGCAGCCGACGTAAAATATAAAGCAATCATAGTAAAAGAAGAATCAATTACAACACTTAATAATATTCCCAATAACCATAAATTTTTTCTTGATATTTTATAATTTTCATTCTCATCTTTACTATAACTATCATGAACAAATTTATCTCCTAATGCACCTAGAAATGATCCAATAAAACATATGATTACACCTATAAATGATATATTCATTTATTTTCCTCTTTTTTTTTTTTTTTTTTTTTTTTTTTAATAAAATGTGTATAATTTAATTACCCTACAAAAAGAAATTAAAGTAAAAAATGAAAATATAAAAAATAACATTTTTTTTAATGAAAAAGTGTAAGTATTTTAAAAAACATATATCCTATATGTAAATATATAAATAAGTATATTTTTTATAAAACATTAATGTATTTTTATAAAGTAGAAAAAGGAAAAAAAAATTTGAGACAATCTTATAAACCAATTTTATAAAATATTTATAACTATATTTTTAAGAAACATTTATAAAATATATATTAATAAAATAATTTTTTTTTTAAATTTTGATGAAATATTTCTTCAAAAAAAAATTGCTACCTTTAGAACTACATAGTTTATCGTTTAAATTACAACTCATATTTTTAAAAAAAGATATAAAAAATATCACAAAAAAAAAAAAAAAATTATTTTAAAGAATAATATATAAATTGTCAATTTGAAAAAAAAAAAAAAAAAAAAAAAAAAAAAATAAGACTAAAATAATTATGATTCATTTATTTTTCTTTTAAATCTAAATTAACACAAATAAAAATAAAGTGTTGCTTCCTATAATTTTTTTTTTAATATATAAACATAAACAATTGAAATATTAAAAAATAATAAGAATTGTATTTATTAAAAACAAATTAATATTTCTAATCATATAAATTTTTAAAATTTTTTGTAAATGTAATACAAATGTTAATATTTAAAAAAAAAAAAAAAAAAAAAAAATTCCTTTAAAAGATCTAAAAAGCTTTTTCTGTAGAAAGATGGTATTTTTTAAATTATTAAATTTTTTGTGAAATTTTTTCTGTTTTTATTTTGTTTTTTTAAACAAAAAAATAAATATAAAACTTTCATTCTTAATATTCATGTTCTCATTTTAATATGTTACACATTTTATAAATCTTTATAACTTACTTAAGCATGTATATTTTACTTTTTCTTAATTCATTTTAATTATAAATTATTGTGACATTATAATAACTATTATAGAGAACTAATAATAAAAAAACTAAAAATTTTATAATAAAAGTATTAAAAATTTTATAATAAAAATATTAAAAATTTTATAATAAAAGTATTAAAAATTTTATAATAAAAATATTAAAAATTTTATAATAAAAATTCTTTTAGACAAAAAAGTAAAAAAGGAGTACATTATAAGTTGTAACATTTTTTAAGAATGAAAAAAAAAAAAAAAAAAAAATTCTACAAGAAAAAAGGAACATTTAGAATAAATTATTTCTATTAAAAAGAAAAATTACTATTAACTTTTTTATTTATTACTTAAATAAATTTTGATTTCTTTTAATTATTTTTTAAAGAATGAAAAGAAAAAAAAATGTGCACTAAAAGACTCAAAAAAAAAAAAAAGAAAAATAATAAAAGTAGCACAACCCATGAGATAAATTAAGAAAAATTAAAATGAAAACTGAAAATTTGGTAATCATTTTACATATTTGAATAAATAACATTAATTCATTTAAAAATGAAAAAATGTAGCTATTAAAAAAAAAAAATAACAATAACAATGCTGTATTTAAAAATTAACCTGAAGTGTTTTTAAGTGTCACTTTTTTTTATAGTTGTATTTTAAAAAATATTAGGTATAGTGTTTTTTTATTTTCTTCTTATAGATATCCATATTTCACAAAAAAAAAAAAAAAAAAAAAAAAAAAAAATATATATATATATATATATATATATATATATATATTAATTTTCAAAAGGCATTCGAAAATCTATTGATAGAAATTAACACACCTAAGTTACAATATTATTATAAAAATGAAATGACAATAATAATGGCACTAAAAATACATAAACCAAACAAAAAGGCATTAAATTAACAATATTATTTAAGATATAAATTTTTTTTTTTACTTATTTTTCAAATGTAAATTTTGTTAACATACATTGTTAAATATAAATAATTGATATATTATTAAATTGGGAAATATATAACCTCATATATAATTAATACCATTAAATTTTTTTTTTGTTTTCATTACATTTTTATAAATTGTAATCATATATAAATAAATATATATATATACTTGTAAAAATATGTATATAAATTTTATAAAAAATAATATAACTCATAGTTAAAAATACATAAAAAAAAAATAATAAAGTATTTTTTTTTTTTTTTTTTTTTCCTTGTTATTTTTTATTACTTAATCTAAAAAATATAATATTTTTAAATAAAAAATAAGGAAAAACAAGAATACACCTTTTAATAAAGTAAAAAAAGAATTAAAAAAATAAAAATAATAATGATTCATTTAAATATCAATTATAAGGACACTATTTAAATTACCAAAATGAATTTTATGTAAATCCATTTAATAATATTGATAGGTATGATTTTATGAATGTTTTAAAGAATGAATCTTTTTACTTAACTCTTTAAATATTATATGAAAAATTAACTTTGTTTTTTGATTTTATTTTGGCTGTTATTTAACCATCTTCTGTATCACTAACATTTTTTTTTTAGAAGCGAAATATAATAATCATTAATTAATAGACCCAAAAAAAAAAAATAAAAAGTAAAATGTTAAACATAAACAATAATAAAGAATACTTGAATAACAGAAATATAAAAAAAAAAATGAATGAAAAATATATTAGAAAAAATTTTAATAAAAATTGTAAAAGTGAAAACAATATAAACGATTATTTAACTGATAAAAAAAAAAACTGTACAAACTTGAATGAAAATGTAAATAATTTAAATACATTTGAAAATAATTATTTAAATGAAATTCATAAAAATGACAATAATTTAAAAAGAGACAATGAAAAAATACATAAAGGAAACATAATTAGTTGTAAAAATAAAAATTTTAAGAATCATCTAAAGAAAAATAATGAAAATTATGAAAATGTAAATTACAATTTATGTTTTAGTAATAATGAAAAAATAAAAATTTTAACAGAAACAATAAAGAAAATACATGAAAATAATTTAAATGAAGTATTAAAAAATTCTATTAATGATAATAATGATAATAATAATAATAATAATAATGAAAACAACAATAAATATGATAATATTATTAATAATAATAATGATAATACTACTACTACTAATAATAATAATGATAATAATACTACTACTAATAATAATAGTTATAATAATAATTATGTCAGTATTAATGATTCTATTAATGAAAAATGTAACATTTATAATAACAGTGATAAAGAAAATTCTATTAACAATGGCAACCACGGAGACAATAATATTACTCTTAATAGATATAAGAATAATAATAGTAGCAACAATGTATATAATAAAAGAAACAGCAGTTTGAATAATAATTGTAACAATAATAATATTATTTTCAATAATAATTATATAATCAGTAATAATAAAAACAATAGTAACGATATTATTAATGATATTAGTAATAGTAATAATAACTATTACAATAATAGGAATAATAATAATAAAATTAAAAATAACAATTATAATAAATTAAAGAATGTTGATAGCCATATCAACGATAACAATAGTAATATTAGCAATAATAACAATAGTAATATAAGCAATAATAACAATAGTAATATTAGCAATGATAACAATAGTAATATTAGCAATAATAACAATATTAATATTAGCAATAATAACAATAGTGTAAATAATAAAATAAAAACTATTAGTAATAAAAATAATATTAATTATAATAGAAGTGACATTAATAATAGAATTAACATTACTATTAATAATAATTCTGGAAAAAATAAAAATAATAACAATAATTTTAATAATACTAACAGTAACCTTAGTAGAAGTAAAAATAATAATAAAATAAAATATGATGATTTCCATGAGAATATTAATAAAAGTACATTAAAAAAAAATGAGAAACCAAAATGTATAAAGAATTTAATAAACCTAAAGAACAATTTTGTTAATGAAAAAAAGGAAAGTAATTTATATAATGATCTTTCATTAATTGAGGAAGATAAAAATAAATTAAACAAAAGAAAGACAAACTCAAAAAATTGTAATTACCCTCCATCAAATAATTTGAAAGAATATAATCTTCAACCTAAGAAAAATATTAATCAGAAAAATAATGAGGAAAAGAGGAACCTAGATAAAAGTAAAGTTAAATATAAAAAAAAAAATAATAATAATAATATTAGTAGTAGTAGTAGTAATAATAATACTAATACTAATACTAATAACGATAATAACAATGGCAATAATAATAATAACTACAATAACAATGGAAGTAATGATAATAATAGCAATAATGATAATAATAATAACAATGGCAGTAATGATTATAATAATAATAATAACAATAACAATAACAATAACAACAACAACAATAATAATAATAATAATAATAATAATAATAATAATAATAATAATAATAATAATAATAATAATAATAATGGCAGTAATGATAATAATAGCAATAATGATAATAATAATAATAATAATGGAAGTAATAATAATAATAGCAATAATGATAATAATAATAATAATAATAACAATAACAACAACAATAATAATAATAATAACAACAACAACAGCAACAATAATAATAATAATAATAAAAGTTCTCTTAATGGTCTTAAAAATAAAAATCCTATAAAAAAGTTTACATATGATACATCAGATGTAAAAAATAGAGAAGAAGATAATAATAATATTTTATCAAAGCAGAATCATAATGAAGGGAAAAGTATTAAAAAAAAAATTTCAAATATAAAAATTTCTAAAAATTTTTTTCTTCAAATGGATGATGATAACACAAGCAAAAATAGTTCTATTTGTTTAAAAAATAAGGAAATAAGTAAAAAAATTATAATTATAGAAGAAAATGATAATTTATCTTTAAAAACTAAAATAAAAAAAAAAGATTTAACAATCGATGAAACCCTAATACTATTAAGTTTAGTTCATGAAGTAAATATGAAAAGATTCAATTCTAATGAAATTATATCTAGTAAAGATTCGTTAATGGAACAATTTATGTTGTACAATATATTATCTTATGATATAACTAATTTAAAAAGCTCATTAAAACTTATATTTACTTTTTGTTTATTTAAAAATTTAAGATTCTATTATAAAATACAGAATAAGAATATTTATATAGAAGAAAGAGCTATACCAAATTATAGAATTAAAGACAATTTAATAGATGCTCATTCAATTATTCTAGGAATGTTTGATAATTATCATCACAATATAAACAAACAAAAGATGTCTTTAATGGATTTTATTAATTCTTTTTATTTAAATATACATAATATAAAATTTTCTAAGAAAAATGTTCAACCAAAGACATTTGACAATTTTACTTTATCAGAAAAAGATAACAGTAAAATTGCCTCTATGTGTTCAAATAGGCCTGTTTTATATTCAAATTATTTAAATGATGAAAGTGAATTCAATGAAATTGATTATAATATTTTAAATGATAAAGATAGCGAAATTATAAATAATTATAGTGATATAAGAAATGATGTAAAGAATAATAAAAATGATGACACAAAATACAACAAAAAAATTTATACAGGGAATAATATAAAAAGTTATAATTCTAATAGAGAATACAGGAATACAAATAAAAATGATGATGAAAATAATTATGATAATAATAATAATGATGGTTATGATAAAAACATAAGTAAAAAGGATGATCATGATAAGAATAGTAACTTGTCTCATATGAATAGAAATCGAAATTGCAATAATAAATGTAATAATTATAACAATTATAACAAAAATATTAATTTTGAATATTATATGAATATAAGGAAGAAGGAAAGCAAAATTCATGATAATGTTAAAATAAAAACAAAAGAAAAAGAGAACTTTAGTAAAAATGAAAAAGAATTATCTGTTACAGTTAAAAAAAAAGAAGTTAGTAATGAAGAAACAGACAATAAAGAAACGTTATGTGCTCATGAAAGAAGTAAACGAAAATTTTATGTTTATGATAAAATGGAAGATAGTTTATATTCATATAAAAAGCAGAAGGTATCTTCTACCGATAATACTATGGTAAAAAAATATGATGAAATAAAAAATTGTAATATTAAAACTGGTGAATTACACAACAATATTAATAATAATGAAATGAATTCAAATAAAGAAGATTTAAAAAATGAGGATATTTCGGTTAACACAAATAAAAATAAAGAGATTTTTTTTCAGAAAATGGTTAATGAAAACATATTAAGTATTATAAATAATTATAATACGGACAATTTTCTCATAAAAAATATGATTGAAAAATCGAGAAAAATTAAAAATGAAGGAGAGAAAGCAATTAATTTACATGGTGATAATTTCATAAATATGAAAAAAAATAATATTTTAAAATTAAATAATTATACAAATCCGAACATAGAAGATATAAAAATAAGTGATGGAGAAGCAGATAAGTCTTTCTATAAAGAAAATAACTTAAAAAATAATAAAATAATAGAAGATGAAAAGGTAGATGATAGTAATGTATTAAATGATGAATATAAAGAGGATATAGATTTAAAAAACAAAAATAAATTTCCAGAAAATCAAAGTAAACAAAAAAATACTTCTATTAAAAGAGAGAAAAAAAATTTCTTTTGTAATAATAACCTTTCATTAATGAAAAATAGGAGTTCAAAAAATTGTGTAACAAAAAAAAAAAAATACACAGAAAAAGAAAAAAATAATGAAGTGCAAGAAACAAAAAAAAATTACAGAACAAATGTAAATGAATTAGAGAATGTAAATGTTATGCTTTTAGAAAAAATAAAAAATAATTATAAAATTAGTTTGAAAAATGATTCAGCTAATAAAAAAAAGAAAAGAAAAGAAGACATATATGAGTTTGAAAATGATGATGAAATAAGCAAAAAATTAGAAAATTCGAATATAAATAAAATTAAATTTATTAAAGAATGTGAGAAAAAATATAACAATAAAGAAATTATTGATGAAAAAAAATGCATGTTATCTGTAGATACAATATATAATAATAATTTTAATATTTTAGATATTAAAGTAAATACCCATTTTTCTCATAATTATCATATTTCTTTATTTTTTTTATGTAAATATACTTCTTACAATTTATTTTTACACCCTTTAAATAAAAATGAACATATCGTTTCATATGTTATATTAAACTGTAAGAATGATGTTCTAACTGATAATGGAAACTATTTTGTGTTAAGATATTTGTTATCTTTTTTAAATAGTAAGTTATCAAGTCTAAGAAAGTGCTATGCTAATGCTCTTTATAATTCTTATTTATTGCAAATACCTGTCAGAATATTTCGTCATAATAATTTGAAAACTAAATATAGTCCTAATTACGGTATAAGGTATGATGGAATTTATAAAATTGTGAATGCATTCACTATAAATGATTATTCAACATACGAATACAAAAGAGATATTCTTTATGTTTTTAAAAGATTATATGTTGATAAGTGCTTTATTCCTAATAGTAGCTATAGATTTTTTGATAATAAATCTTACAGAAAAAAGTATTTAATTGATAAAAATGCTGTTTCAATTAATGTATTTTTAAATAACGAAATTATTTTGACTTTAAAAGTCCCTTACTTAAAAAATTATAAATCAACTACTTTTACTAATTTTAATCATATTTATAAATTTATAAGAAAAAAGTGTATTCAAGAAAATTTGGCTTCAGAGTGGATTAATACAGATGCAAAACAATATGAAGATTGTAAAAAAAGAATTAGACAAGAAAAAAGGAAAAAAGAAGCCCAAGAAAACATCAAATATTTATCAAAAAAAAAAATGGAAAAAGAATATAATTCACTCTTAGACTATGCAAACAATAATTTTAACAATCGTAGTAATCAAATAAAGAATGGAAATAATGCAACTAAAATGGAAAAATTTAAAAATAAAAAAAAAGTTATGAGAAAAGATAGAAAAAATGATTTTAATTGTATTAACAGTGATGTTAATGGAAAAAAAAAAAGTATTGTTGACGAATTTCCATTTTGGTGTTCAGGAAAATATTTGCCTCTTGTATTAATTTTAGAAACATTACATTTTGAAAAGGAGATTAATATAAAACAAAGAATCAGAACAAAGAATTTGAAAAAATTGAATATTTCTACGAAGAAAACAGAAATAGCAATAAATTGTGAAATGGCAAAGAGACCAGCACATTTATTTATTCCAATAAAAAGTAAAGAAGCTATATCAGCATATATTGAATTAAAAAAACCTTTTAGTGATTCATGGAATCCTTATGAAGATTTATCTGCAGGAAAAGAAAAATTTAAAATTCCTGTAGAAAATGTAATAGATGATTCATTACCTCCAATGAATTTTACATATGTCAATAAAACTATATATTTTTCTAGATTACCTCCTTATAATTTACTTCCCTTATGTTCAGGATGTGCTCCAAAAAATTACAATAAAAAAGACTATGATGAATTATATATCAATGGATATTGTAAGGGATTAAGGCATAAAAGAACTAATAAAATATATTGTGATGGAAATAAAAATTATGATATTAATGATTTTAATGTTTTAGCTGCATGTTCAGGAAATTGTTTGTGTGATCCTTTAAAATGTACTAATAAGTTTCCTGAAGGGTTGCATTACCCCGTTAAGGTTGTAAAAACAAAAGATATTGGTTGGGATATAGTTTCTTGTTCATATATTAAAGCAAATTCGTTAATTATGCATTATGTTGGTGAAATTACAACAAGAAAAGAAATGATTTCAAGAGAACATGAATATGATAAAAAAGGTTATTTCAATTATTTTATTGAAACTGCTGAAGTTGATGAAACATATCCAGATGATTGGAAAATTCCGTGTATTGATGCTCTTTTTTTTTCTAATGTTGCTCGTTTTTTAAATCATTCATGCGAACCAAATGTAAATGTTATTACAATATGGAGAGGTGATAATTATCCTTCTGTTGGCATTTTTGCTTCAAGGGATATACATCCAGATGAACCTTTAAAATATCATTATGGAATAAATTACAAAAACATTAAATGTATGTGTGCATCGAAAAAGTGTAAAGGATACATAGGATAATAATACAGTGAGAGGGGGAAAAAAAAAAAGAGCATTTTTTTTTTTTTCTTTATATTTTAATTTGTATTTTTAAAATAAAATTGATATACATTTTTAATCCCTTATATATGAAAATATATATTTTTTTTTAAAACTTCGACTGATACATATATGGATAACATATACTATAATTTTTACGTTTTTCAATTTATACAATATAAAAATATATATATGTAACACATATCATACTAATATAATAATTATAGGAAAAAGAAAAAAATTTTTTTTTTTTTCAAATTGTCAAATTTTATAATGTATAATTTATGTTTTTTTTTTTTTTTTTTCCTTAAAAATATAAAGAAAAAGAAAAAAAAATTAATTTGAACATTCTATTTTTTTTTTTTTATAAATTGCAAAATTGTTTAGCTTATTTTTGTAAAATAAGTTTAAATAGGATAGTTATGTAACGAAATTTGTATAATGTTAAAAAAAAATAATAAAAAGTTTTTTGTAAAATAGGCATATAAATATATATATATATATATATATATATATATATATATATATATATTAAAAAAAAAAATTATTGCATAGAAAATATATACAATTTTATAAAAAACGAAGTTAATATATGTAGGAAAATATGATTGCTTATAAAAATATGATTATATATTAATTAAAAATGAATTTACTATTTAATATGTAAAAAATGTTTCAAAAAAAAATTAAAGTGTACCATGAATATTTTATGTACAAATATTTTTATGTGCATTTTGTAATATATACATGAAAAGATATAATAGAAATTTATTCTCAAGGTGTACTTTTTACACACATGTATAATATAAAATAATTGTTTTTAGCATAAATATACATCTATTGCTTTACTTCATGAAATATGCTCTTATTTCTTTTAATACACTTCAGTGTAAATATATTATTTTTTATAACTTTTATATTATTATATTTAATTTTGTTAATATCATATACTTAATTTTTATGTAAATATATATATATATATATATATGTGTTTACATATTTTTTTTTTTTTATAATTCTTCTTCGCTTCCATCTGTATCTTGTGAAACACCTTCAATAGAAATAGGAGTGTTTGTAGCATGTTTATTTAAAAAATCAACAAAACCCTTCAATGTTCTTTCTCCTTCATATGGTAAAGGTACTTTTGATCCTGCTTTTACAAAAAATATAGTGGGAAAACCAGACCATTCAAAATCTTTAATTGGGGTTTCATTAAGAGTACCATCCATTTTTGCAATAATTAGAGAATCATATTTTTTTAAATGTTTTCCAAGTTCTTCATAAATAGGTTGTAATTTTTTACAATGTCCACACCATGGAGCATAAATTTCAATAAGTACATCTTTTCCACTTTTTAAAACTACATCTACAAATGAATTTCCTACAACTACTTTAACAGGTGCATCCTTATCTTCTTCAGGTATTGGTTCTGATTTAAGAGATTTTTCAATTTTTCCTTCTTCTACATCTTTGAAAAATTTAATTATTTCTTTATGATTACGTAATGATTCTTTAGCATTTGGTAATAAAAATCTTCCTTCACTTGATTGAAAAGCTAAACCAGGAAATTCATTTAATCCTAATGAAGCTTTTGCATGGTCAGCATATTCAGGGACATTTAACAAAACAAAATGAGTTTTACTTCTTAGTTCTGCTGCTGCTAACCTTACTTCTTCCTTTATTTCATTATATTGTTCATTCGTTGCACATACCCAAACTAATTCTTTTGAACTTTCTGCATAAAAACGATAATTTTCTGTATTTATTGCTCCAAATAATGGGAAGGATTCCGTATTTATAAATTCATCTAATGATGTTTTTTCATCATATTCTACTTTATTTTCATCTTTTCTATGGCAATATAATTTGTTATGTTTATCATTTTTTTTAACAAAAAATTTTGCCAATTCACGATTTTTATCACCAATTTCATTAAACTTTTTATATAGTTCGTTATCTTCTGAAGTATATTCTAAATAAAATGCTACACTAATATTTTTCTCAGATAAAACATCTTCTATATTTCCTTCTATTTCTGTAAATACAGGCCCAGTCATTTGCAAAAGCCAATCCACTATTAATTGTGCTGTTCTACCTCCTCCATAATTTACTCTTCTTTTTTTATTAAATAATATCAAAGTTGGATAACCTGTAATTCCATATTCTTGTGCTAATGCATTTTCTGTAGTTGCATCTACACTTGCCAATTTGATTTCACTTTTTTTATCTGACAAAATATTAGCAGCTTCGTTATATTCTGGTATTAATCTTTTACAATGTCCACACCTTCAAAAAAAAAAAAAAATAAAATAAAATAAAATAAAATAAAATGAGAAATGTAAACCAAAATATATATATATATATATATTTATATATATATATATATATATATATATATGTATATATATATATATATATATATAACTGAATTCTTAAATTATATATAATATCAAATTTTTCATAAAATAAAATTTCTTTTTTATAAAAGTTTTACCATGGTGCATAAAACATAACTAAAACAATATTATTCTTAGTTATAAATTTCTCTAATTCACCATCATGTATTTCCGTCACAAGATCATTAAAAAGGTCCTCGTGAGAACGAATAAAATTTTGAAAAACAAAAGGAATTAAAAGTAAAAAAAAAGAAATATATTTTGCATTCATTTTTAAATTTACTGTAATATAACTATTTTTCTTTATATATGAAAAAAAAAAAAAAAAAAAATGGAACTAAATTATTAACTTAAAAAAAGTTGTATTTTTTTATTTGTATCACAGTATATATAAAAAAAAAATATAAATATATAAATGTATCTCAATATTTGTGTAAAACACAAAGTAAAAAAATTAAATAATAATTTCAAATATCTTCAAAATTCTTAAGATTTTTATGTTTATTTAAAAAATTTTGAAATTAAATACGTATTTTAATTATCATTGTGATACATTATTTTTTTATATTTAAAAAATTTTTTTTTTTCCACTTTATGTAAATGATTTTTTATTTTTTGGAAGGATATTCAGTTTTTTTTTTTATTTTTTTTTTTTTAAATATGCATACAGATATCCTTTATATATTTTTTTATGTATTTATATCGACACATTGCTCTTTTAATACTATATATATATCCCTTGTGCATGTAAAACAGATTTAATATTTTTTTTTTTTTTTATGTGCGAACCAAAATTATAAAAAAAAAAAAAAAACTAAAAAAAAAATTATCTAAAGGTAAGAAAGGAAAAAAAGAAAAAGTAAAGATATGCAACTCGTTTTATACAAGCACAAAAGATTTTTTATATAAAAAAATTTTCTAATTCTTAGACTTCATATATATTAATTTTGAAAACTAGGTCTTTATTTTTTTTTTTATAATTATATAAAATTGGCATATATGTTGAATGGACTTATTGATTTAGAATGATTTAATTATTTCATTAAATTTTATATTTATATATATATATTTATATAAAATTATTATAAGAAATGTTCTTTATTTCTAATTTTTTGGAAAAATAAAATGTATCTCTTATTAATGAGTTATAAATAAATGAATTATAAATTAAGGAAATTAAATCTTTTTATTATAAAAATTCTATTTTTACGTTTTTCTTATTTTTAATAATTAAAAAAATATTATTACGAAAATGAAATGACTTCAGTAGATATATACATTTTTTTTTAAATATAATGACACATTTAATTTTACAATTTTACAAAAAGTTTAAAATAACTATTACATTAAATCTATTGTATTTACGTATTATTTTTTAATAAATAACAAACTATAAATGTTATCATCTTCAATTTTATAAATTCCATTTTAAAAAATATAAGAGGAAATAAAAAAAAAAAAAAAAACATGGGAATTTATTCGAAAATTTTGTTACACTGAAACATCATTTATTTTATTTTTTTTAATCTATAACTATTATGTTGATCTTTAATTATTATAACCTTTAAATATATAATTATTTTTTTCTTTAAACACTGTTATCATTTTCTTTTATAAATTTTTTTATTATAAGCAGTCCATTTGTGAAATTCTTTATTATTAATAATGATTAAAACATGTATAATGAAAAGAGGGTAACTGTGTATTTACACCAATTTTTTTTTTTTATTTGATTCCCATAAAAAATATATTTTTAAATCCTCTATAAAGAATTTTGATTACTCTAGTTCATTTTTTAATACACAATTTTTATGGTGTATAATTCATTTGCAGTTGTTACAAAGGTAACATATCTTTATTTAAATTTTTATCATATTATTATATCTGTAAATATATACAGATATATAGGTATATACAAATATATATACATAATTTTAATAAATTCAATATATTTATATAAAAAAATATTTAAAAAATAAAATTTTGTTACTATTTTTTTTTTTAATTAAATAAAAATAATGTTAAGAAAAGACACACAAAATGAAGAAAACTTGGATTTTTTATCTGAAAATATTGAATTAATAGGAAAAAATATAAAAAGTAAATATTATAATGTATTATTTCCAGATATATCTTTAAATAAGTAATTAAAATAAATAGAATTTTTTCTTTTCTTCTTCTTCTTCCTCTATATTTATATAAATATATAGTTTTTTTTTTTTTTTTTTTTGCATTAATATAGAATTATTGTATGGATTAGTTTTTTTCAAATAATAATTTATATATTAAGTTGCTTATTAAGTGAAAATTTAGAAGCACCAAATGTTCAAGTCTTGATGTTTCTAGGTGCTACATATGGACCATCTATTAAGTAATTTTTTTTTTCAAATCATTTAAATACATTTTAAATTTATATATATTTAATAGTATAAAATATTTCTTGTATAATTTCATATTTGATTTATAATAATTATATTTCTTTAGGTACCTTTATTTATATCTTCCTAATTATATATATGTATAAACATATTTATTTATCCCGTTTGAATAAATATGTACAGGCAAGGTGAATTGTGGAGATTACTATTTCCAATATTTTTACACGCGAATTGGTGGCATCTAATTATAAATATTTTGTGCATATTAAACTTAGGTTTAATAATTGAAAGTAAATATAAAAGAAGTAGATTTTTATTAATATATTTTTTATCTGGGATAATAGGAAATGTATTAACTACTATTTGCAATCCTTGCCAGCTTGCTGTTGGTGCATCAACAAGTGGATTTGGTTTAATTGGATGTTCAATTTTAGAAATATTTTTGGCTTGGGAAAATCTAACAAAAAAAGCAAAAAATTATTATATTTTTAATATATCCATTTTTTTAATATTTTTTTTATTTGTTAGTTTCTCTCCTTCTGTTGATTTTTTTGGTCATATAGGAGGATTTCTTTGTGGAGCTTTCTTAGCTTGCCATTACAATAAATTTATAGGATATAATTTGTATGAAAAAAAAAAAAAAAAAAAAAGAATAAAAAGAATAAAGAGAATTTTATACATATTATCTTTTTTTTTTTTTTTTTTTTTTATCAGTTTTCAAGAATCACTATATTACAGTTTTGCTGCTATATGTACTTTAATTATTTTATATTTGCCCATTAGATTATTTGTTAATAATATGTCATGTGAACTTGGTTATTAAAATTCACTTTATTTTCAATGAATATATATTTATAGAAAATAAAAAATAATTGTAATTACATATATTTAAAAAAAAAAAAAAATATATTATATCTTAATTTTCCAAAAATAAAATTAAAATATATCCATTAATATGTTAATTTTTAAGATAAATTATTTCTTAATCGAAAAAAAATATCGTAAATTTTTCATTTTTTTTTTTTTTTTTTAAATATTATAATTATTGATTAAACTGCATAGAATATAGACAAAAAAAAAAAAAGAAAATTTAGAACAAAAAAAAAAAAAAAAATTTACAATAGAAATTTTTGAAATATATATAAAATGTTGAAAAGTTAAATATAAAAATTTTAACTTGTTACTTCTTATTTTGAAATGAAACAATAATTATTAAAAATACATCTTTTTCTTTTTAATATATTTTTCTTTTTTTATAGTTTTATATTTCTTAATATTTTCTTTTTAGAAATTTTCGTTAATTGTATTGACTTACAAGAAAACATAACTTAATATGCGTTTGATTTGGATTTTCTTTTTTTTTTTCTATTACATCTAATATTACTAATATTTAGTGTATTATACAAATTGTTTATAAAATTTGCAAAATTATTTTTATTCTCAGTAGTAATATAATCAATTTTAAATATATTTTTTAATAAATCACAATACATATCATCACACTTTGTTATTTTATTTAAGCACATTATATATATAAAAGAGGGACGAATAAATTCATTAGCATAAATAAAATCTAATAAAAATTTATTTTCTTTTGTTTTCTTTCTAATTCTTCTCTGATTATTTATAGATATAATATTATTTTCCCATTTAATAAAATTATTTAAAAAATTATGATTTTCAACAATAATTTCATTCATATCTTTAAAGGGGGTACTACTGAGACCATCTGTTACAAATAGTAAAGACATAATATGAACTAAAATTTTTCTAGTTATACTTAAACGCTCTTGAAGTTTTTTACTATATAACAATGGCAAAGTTACTCTTAATAAAAGATAATAATTAAAAAAAATGTCTCCATAATTTAAATATTTATTTAATAATTCCTTACATATGTTCTCATCATTTAATATAGTGTGGCTTAATTTTTTATTTAATAAAATTATGCTAATTCTATCAAAGAAAATATATAGTGTTTTTTCAAACATGTCATCATTATTTATAATTAAATTTTCTCCTGTATTATTTAAACTTTTTTCATGTAAATATTTTAAAAGAAAAAAACATTCACATATTGAACTTATTTCATATAAACTTATGTTATTATCTAGACAAAAATAAAAATATTTAGAATTATTTACATTATCTATATTTTTCAATTTCATATATTTATTACAATCATCAGAAAAAGTTATTTCCCCTAATTCATTTTTCTCATTTTTTTTTGAATCATTATCATTTTTCATAACAACTAGATTACTTCTATCCTCATAATTAGATATATATAAGTTAACATAATCTGAAAATAAATTTTGAAATAATGAGATAAAATCTTCATTTTTTATATTATCTAAATTGAATATGGATATTCTAATATAAGATTTAAATAAATATGTTATGTATCTATATTTTATTAAAAAATTTATATCATTTATTTTATTAATTTCATTATTAATATCATTTTTATTATTCGTTTCAACGCTATATTCAGCGTTTACTTTTTCCTTCATAATTTCATTAGAATTTTTAGAGTATTTATATTTATATAATATAATATTTAAGAGGTATGAAATTTTTTCTCTAAAATGATTTTTATATGGTAATCTTGATACTAAAATTCTTTTAGCTTTTTTTTTTTTTTTTAACTTCCAATATATAGAAGTATCTGACCACCAATTAGAAAACAAGCTTAAATGGCAATAGGATGATAAAATGAAATATCTTAAAATATGATCTAGATTATTTGAATTTGAGATATAATTATCAGTTGTTCTAATAACTAAATCAGTTAAGTATTTCATTGATAAAAAATTATCATAGTTTTTATTGAAACATTTTATATCCTTTTTTTCTTTTTCAAAAAAATTTTGGTTGTTTTTATTTGTAAAATTTCTATTATAAAACAAAATATTATCATTACTTGTGAAATTTATCAATATATTTGTTGTCAATGTTAATATATCAAAAGGATTTAGGAATTTTAAATATAATTCAATATTTTCTTTAACTAATATATTGAATTTAGAATTAAAGAAATTACATTTTAATAAAATATTTTGAAAACTTATTAATTTATTTGAATCATTAATACATTTTGTGGTTAAATTTTTACTTATTATGTCATTATAACATTGAACATATTTATCTAAAATAATAGGAGGTATATTTATTCTACAATGTAATAAATAATACAAAAATAGCAAATACATAGATTTTTCATATTTTTGCTTTTTTAAGAAATCAAAAAAAAAATTCTTCATGAGAAATTTAATTAATATATTACCAACTAATCTATTATATATCTTGTTATCATATAAATGTTTAATTATAAAATAACAAGAAATAATATTCTCTTCTATGTTAGTTGAATCCTTAATTATTAAATATATAATTTTTCGATACAATTTTATTTCATTTATTTTAAAAATAGATAATAGTTCAAAACAGTTATATAAATTATTATAATGCCTATTAGATATTATAAAATTTACATTTTTTTTAACATAATTTATAAGATTATCATTAAAACTAGTTTCATTTACAATTATATTTTTATATAATTTTGACAATATAAATAAATTAAAAAAGTTGTTACTATTTTTTTCGTTTGATATTAATTCTAAAACATATATTATTTCATTTTTATCATTTTTATTTTCTATTAATAATTTATGAATCATATTTTCAATTTTATCCTGATTTATCTGAAGATCATTAAAGTTCCCTTTTACTTCTAATCGTTTGTTATTTTCACATTTATCATTATTTTCAGAGTATTGATATAAATAATTGTTATTATATTTTATATCAATATTTTTTACTAAATGTTCATAGCATTTTACATTGCTTTCATTATTTTTATTTTCATTATTTTTCACATTAATTTCATTTTCTTTAATTCCACAGGATTTTAAATTATCTTTATCTTCCATATATTCTTTATAATTTTTTTCATTTTTAAAATCCTTCTTATATTTTAAATTGTGAAAATAACAAATACGTTCTCTAATATTAAAGTCTAAATATATAACTAATTTATTAGATTTTATGTTAATCCATTTAACGTCATAAAATTTAATAAATTTCAAATCACATTTTAATAATTTCTTATTATTAAAGAAAGAGTTATAAATAATTGTTTGATTAATCATTATAAAAATATAACAAAGAATTATGTAATATATATTGTATTTATTTTTTATTTTAACTTGATGGTTACAATTATTTTTTATTCAAATTATAATTTTTAATATGGTGGGATGTACTTACATGCTGATATATATACAAAAATTGAATTAAAAAATAAGTGGGAAAAATTCTGCATATATATATATATATATATATATATATATATATATATATATATATATATATATATATATAAAAATATTGTTGCTTAATTTTATGTTTTATTCATATATATGAAGAAATTTTTTTAACTATCGTTATTTTAAATTACTTAATTCTTTGTATATATTTATATACACTTTTTATATGAAAGCTGTTCATAACAATAGTATTTAAATTTAATCTTTTGTTATTTAAAATCTATTATATTTATCAAAAACAATACGTAAATGTTGCTTTTAAAATTTTTGTTTTTTATAAGTTATAAATTTTTATAAATTTACTATGTTATGTTTTTTCATTTCTTCTTTATCATAGTTCTTTATTTAGTATTTTATGCAAATATCAAAAATGCATATACTTTGAGAGTTAGATTAAGTAAAGAAATTTTATTTTTGAAATCATGTATGACTTTAAAGAAAAGAAAGATTAAAAATATTTCCCCTTTACAAAGTAAACATTATAATTTTAACTTGATTGAAAAAAAATGGCAACTTATATGGAATTCTAAGAAATTATTAGATAAGGATTTTGAAATATTTAATAAGCTTAAAAATAAAAAGAAAGATAAATCAAATGAGGATATTGAGGAAAATAATAAAATTAGTTTAAAAAAAAAGTATAGAATGTTTAAGAAGTATTACATTTTAGATATGTTTCCTTATCCTTCTTCTCAGGGGTTACATGTTGGGCACATTTTATGTTTTACAATAACTGATGTTATAAGTAAATTTAAAAGGATGAATAATTTTTGTGTTTTTCATCCAATTGGTTGGGACAGTTTTGGTTTACCATGTGATAGATTATCTATGAAATTGAAAGTTAATCCAAAAAAAATCATAAAAAAAAATATTTTAAATTTTAAAAAACAACTGATAATGTTAGGATTTTTATTTAATTGGAAGAATGAAATTAATACTTGTGATAAAAATTATTTTAAATGGACACAATGGATTATTATTCAAATGTATTTAAATAAATTGGGTTATAAAAAACGTTCATATGTTAATTGGTCTAAAGAATTAAATTGTGTTATCTCCAATGATGAATTAAAAAATGAATTGAATTTACAGAATTTACAAATTGAAAAAGTAAAATTATTACAGTGGTTTCTTAAAATTACCAAATATGCAAATCGTTTAATAAAAGACTTAAAATTAATTAATTGGCCAAATAAAATTAAAAATATGCAGATAAATTGGATTGGTAAAAAATCAGGAATAGTTATAAAAGCAAAAATTATTAATATAAATAAAATGTTTTTGAACTATTCTCTCGATTATAGACGTAAATTCATATATATTTACTATAGCAATATTTATAATCATTTAATATTTCTTTTGTTTAATTGTATTTATTACATTGGAATAAAAAAAAGTTTTAATAAAACTAATTATAAATTTTTTTCTTCTTTTTTAAAATCCATGAATGATGAACATGAAAAAAATTGTGGAATTATTGAAGAAAACGAAATTGGAAAAAATGAAAAAAAATTTGTTGGTCCTCTAATAAATAAAAATGTAAATTGTAATGAAAAAGATATGTACTATGATGATTACATTTCATTAAATATTGACAATATTAACAATATTGGCAATATTAACAATTTTATGAATGATGTATTAATTAGTAATAACATATATAGTTTACAAAAAAAGCATTGTTATTTACATAATTTTAAAGAAGGAAATAAAATATCGAATGAAGAAGATACATATGTTAAAATATTCTTAAACAAAAATGAAGGATTGTTAGAAAATAATAAAATCATCGTTAGTGTAAATCATCCTAATATTAACAGAATAGTAAACAACGATCAATTTTTATTAAAATATATAAGCGAAGAAATTATTAAAAATGATACATCAAGGTTAAAAAATGATAAACTATATTTTTCTGGTTCTGTTATTTATAATCCACTTATAAATAAATTTATTCCCATATACGTTTGTTCTTACATTTTAGATAATAATAAAAGTATTCTTTTATTAAGGAAAGAAAATAAAGAAGATAATAAAATAAACGTCTTAATATATGAATTATTACTCAATTCTCATTATAGTATAAAAAAAAGTATTTATAATTTAAAAGATTGGTTATTCTCCAGACAGAGATACTGGGGTGAACCATTTCCCTTTTTATATAAAATAGAAAAAAAAAAGGAAGAATATAAAAATAATGAAACAGATAGTGTTATTTATAAAAAAAATGAAGTTAATGATAAAGATACCCCAAATGATATATTTCTTCCAATTAGAGAAGAGAATGATAATAAAAAAATAGAAATAAAAAAAATTAAAAATTCTCTTAAAAATAAAGTATATATAGATAAAATTCCTTTATGTTTACCAAAATTTAATAAAAAAATATACGAAAAAGATAATAAAGAAAATAAAGTATATTCCGTTTTATCAAGATTCAAGGAATGGATAATTACCAAAAAAAAAGATACACTATATAAAAGAGAAAGTGATATAATGCCTCAATGGGCTGGTTCTAGTTGGTATTATTTAAGATATATTGATCCTAAAAATAAAGAAAAAATTTTTGATAAAAAAAAAGTAAATTTTTGGCTTCCTGTAGATCTATATGTAGGGGGAAGTGAACATGCAGTGTTACATTTACTCTATTCAAGATTCTTTCATAAATTTTTATATGACCTAAAATTAGTTAAGCATAAAGAACCCTTTCAAAAATTATTTAATCAGGGAATACTATTAAATACTACTTCTTTTTATTTTTATACTAATTTAAAAAATGAACTAGTAAGTTATTCTGAAATATATGAAAAAGATATCATTAAAAAAGAAAAGGGAAAAAGAGATATTATAATAGAAAATGAATATAAGAATGGAAATTCTTCAAAAGATAATCAAACGAATGAAAAGGAAATGATAAATTATAATGTAAATAATGATTTATTGAAAAAGGAATTAAAGATAGAAGACACAATGGAAAAAGAACAAAATATTACTAATATAAATGAGAAAAAAAATATACATAACTGTATTAATCAAGAATTAACTCAAAAAGGCAAATCAGAAACTGAAAAAATAATTGAGAGTAATAATTATATAATGGAAAATAATTACAAGAAATTTTTGATTGATGAAATGCATGTAATAGAAAAAAATCAAAAATATTATTTGAAAAATTTACCTTCTATTGAAGTACAACCCAATTTTGAAAAAATGTCTAAATCAAAAGGAAATACTATTAACCCTAATGATATAATTAAAATATATGGTTCAGATTGCTTAAGATTGCATATTTTATTTTTAGGACCAGTTGATCAAAATAAAAAGTGGAATATTAAAGGGATAAAAGGAACCTTTAAATTTTTGAATAATTTATACAACTTATTTATAGATAATGTAAATAAAAAAAAAAAAAAAAAAAATGAATACACCAATGAAATAGATGGAAATAAAAATGAAAAAAATATATACACCAAAAAGTTATTAAATGATGATACTTGTAAAATAAAGGAAATGAAAAATATATTAAACGATATAAATAATAAAAATAATGAAAATATTAATTCAAATGAAATAAATAATGATAAAACAGAAAATTTAAAAAATGATTTGAATGATGATATAATTTGCGAAATTTGCAAAAATAAAAATAAAAATAAAAATCTGATTATAAATTTTGAGAAAAATATAAATCTTGAAAAAAAAAAAAATTATAAAAAGATATTAAAGAGAAATTTAAATATACTTAAAAGCAAATCTGACTCATTTAAAAAACTCTCGAATAAAATAAAAAAAAACATAGAAATTGAAACAGAAAAAAAAAAAAAAGTAAATTATTATATTGAGAAAATTACGAACTGTATAAATTCAATAAAATTAAACACAGCTGTGTCTTTTTTTATGAAATTTTATAATGAAATTAAAGAATGGAATTATATACCTTTAAAAGTATTTCTTATATTTATTAAATTATTATATCCATTTTGTCCTCATATATGTGAAGAGTTTTGGTTTTATTATTTAAAAAAATATAGAAAAAAAAAAAAAAAAAAAATTTGCTACTTTTGTAATTCTAGTTTACTATATTATGAAAAATGGCCTTCTTTATTTCAAATAAAAGAAGAAAAAATTGTAAAAATATCTATAAAAATAAATAATAAGCATATTGCTTTTATTCAAATTAATCTAAAAAATTCAAAAAATATAATAAAAGAATCAACAAATTTAATACAGGATCGCATACAAAATGAAATAAAAAAAGGAAAAAAAATAATTAACATCATAAACATTCCTAACAAAATAATCAACTTTATAATAAAATAATAACAAAATTGTTTAAAAAAATATACATATATATATATATATCATGAGAAAAAATTTAAATACAAAAAAAGAGTAAAGCTTTTTATATAAAATTTGTTTATGTTATTTTTGTTTATTTTTTTTTGTAATTCTGCTTAATTTTAATTCTGCATCTTTTAATTCTTTTTCTAATCTTTTTTCATTGTAAGCTTCATTGTAAACAGAATTTTTTAAACATTTTAATTGGTTTTTAATAGCTTCACATATCAATTCTAATAATTCATAATCTGTTTTTTTTATTAAATTATTATAACATGGGCATGTATTTTTATCTCTTAAATCATAAGCCTTTCCCATTGCATCTCTAAAAACTCCAGGAAATGCTGATATTTGATATACTTTTCTAAATCCATCTTTATCTATATCTTCTTTATCTTCATATTCTTCTAATGAAACTAATTTTAATTTTCTTTTTTTTAATTCTTCATCATAATTATAATCAGGTAATGGCCAATCAGGTAATACATACCACCATCTAATTAATAATTGTGCTACTAATTTTTCTTTATTTGAACGATTACGTGGATCAAAAGTCCCTATAACAATAGAATCCTTTTCAATATCATTGTCATTATAATCTTTATCTAATTTATTTTCTGTATTTTTTTTTTTTCTTTCTTTTTTTTTATTTTTTTTTTTTTTTTTTAATTTTCTAGGCTTATTTTTTGTCATTGAATTAATTTTTTTAGTAGTGTTTCCCTTGTTAATACTATTTTTGTTAACACTAACTTTTTTTGTATTTATCTTTTTTACATTATTATTTAATTTTTTTTCAATAGTTTTATTACTATGATTTACACTTATGTTTTTTACTACATTTGCGTTTTCATTATTATTGTCTGTAATTTTTTTATTATTATTCTTGTTTTCTATTTTACTTCTAATTAAAATTGGTTCGTCAGAATCATAACTTGACTTATCACATATGTTTTCGGTATTTTTTTTTAATTTATTATCATTTTTAATTAAATTTAATAAAAATTCATCATCACTACTTACTTCAGATCCTACATGATTTTCTTTCGTATTACTTATTACATTCTCCTTATTATTTAATGAATCCTTTTTTTTAATTATTTCTTCACTATTTTCTTCATTTTTCTTTTCTTTTTTGTTAATTATTTGATCATCAATTTTTAATTCACTATTGTTATATGTTTTCAATAATGGTAAATCGTCCATATCGCTATTGCTATCCCTAATTTTGTCAACATACTGAGGTTCATTTTCTTTTTCTTTGTTAACATCGGAAATTACATTATTTATTTGATCATTTAAATAATTTTTTATTATTTTATCTTCATTATTATCGTTATTTAAATTGATATTTAAAGTATCATCAAAAGTATTACTAGTTATATCTGTTTTAGATTCATGCTTATAAGGAATATTTTCTTTTTTATTATTTTCATTTTTCATTAAATTTTCATTTTCATTTTCATTTTCATCATTTATAATATCATTATTTAATTTATAATCTTCATTACACATGTTTTTATTTTCACTATAATTTTGAAAAAATTGACAATTTGTGTTTTCGTTTTTTTGCATTTTTAAATTACCTTTCTTATCAACATTATTCTTTTTTTTAAAATTATCTAATTTTTTTTGTTAATTTTATTTTTTTTTTTTTTTTTTAATTTAATACTTTAAAAATAATAATATATAAAATTATATTTTAATATATTTATTTATATCAATGCAATTTATAATCTCAATTTTCTTATAATTTTTATGATTATTAACAATTGTCTATCTAAATATTCAAAAAAAATAAGTCTTTAAATATTTATAAAAATTTTAAAAATATAAACAATTAAATAGTTATATAAGAATTTATTTATTTAATGTTTTATTTTATTTTATTTTTTTTTTTTTACTCTAAAATAATTAATTGTATCTATGAATATGTATACAAATAAAAATAAATATTAATGAATTCATAATTTTTTTTAGTAATTATTATCTTTTTAAAGCAAATAAAAAAAAAAAAAAAATAAGAGTAAAAATAAAAATAAAAAGTTAAAATTAAAATGGAAAAATTAAAATGAAAGTAAAAATTTAAAAAGGAAAAAGGAAAGAGGAAAAAAGAAAGAGGAAAAAGGAAAGAGGAAAAATGAAAAAGGAAAAATGAAAAAGGAAAAATGAAAAAGGAAAAATGAAAAAGGAAAAATGAAAAAGGAAAAAATGTTAAATTTTGTGCACACAAATAAAAAAATAATATTATTAATATAAAACAAATAAAGATACAAAATAAAACATAAAATAAATTTAATAAAATTATGATTTTACTAGTAATAAAATGTATATAAATTGAAAAATAGAAAATTATATATTTTTTAAAAAATTTTTTTCTTTATATAAGAAACATATAGTTATTTATTTTAATATTAACATAATTCTTCTATTTATAATTAAACTTTTTTATTAATAATAAAATTATCATTATAATGATTTAAATATACATGAAAATTTAACTAGTCAAACAACTATAAGGAAAAAAAAAAACAATACATTTTTAGTTTTAAACTAGGCTTTTTTTTTTTATTCTTCATGAATATATATTTGAAAAAAATAAAATTCTATCTTTTTTTAATATAAAAAAATATAACAAAAAATTTTCATTTATGTTTTAAAAAAAAAAAAAGAAAAAGAAAAAATTTTTAATAGATAAATGTCTTACTATAAAAACTTTTGTAATAAAAATATGTACAAAAAAAAAAAAAAAAAAAAAAAAATACTTGTAGTATTTTGATTTTCAAAAATTTCTTTAGGTGTAAAATAATACATGCATAAGTGTTATTGAAATAAAATTATTTTTATTGTTTTATATAAAGCCAAATATGTATTATTTAATCTATAAACTTATAATTTTATTAAAAAAAAAAAAAAATATAAAATTTTTAAGTATAAATGAAATATATATATATATATATATATATGCATATTTAAATTTTATGTTTTTTTTTTTTTTATTTTGTTTTATTTTTAAGAAGATCATCCATATGAATATTATTTTTTTTCAAATTATTATGATTATCATCATTATCAAAAGAGAAACCTTTGGAATGTAACGGTGGCAAATCTAAAAATCTTTCTACAAATTTAACTTTACATATTTGTGTAATAAATAATTGAAAGAAAGTATTAGTGATAAAATAAATAAATAATCCTGAAGGCATAGATTTAAAAAAGAACACTGATGAAATATAAAATAACCTCATACCTATTTTTGTAGCTTTTCTAATATTTTTTTGAAATTCACTTTCTTCTAAATAAAGTTTATTTTGATTATTATTATTTATATTTTTATCAATTAATGAGGTTAACTCATTGTTTGATAATAATAATAATGAAGATAAAAATGGTAGGATATAATAAGGATCTGGTAAAGATAAACTATCTAACCATAGGGGTGATTCAAAAGTAAAATCCTTAAAAATATCAGGATATGATGACATTTTTTTCATAGAAAAATAAAAAATACAAAACAATGGGGTTTGAAAAAAAGTCATTAATATGATAGATTTTGGTATTAAAGAAATACCATGAGTATTTCTTATATTTAAAATTCTTTTTTTATATTCTAATGCTTTTTTTATATTTCCATCTTGAGCATTTATTTTTAATTTATTTGTTAAATCTTTTATTAAAGGATTTAAAATTTTTTGTTTTCTTCTATCTCTTTCTGCCGATATAGTTAATGGCAAAATAATTATTCTCATAAAAATTGTTGTAGCTATGATGGAAGTCATCCATGAACAATCAAGTATGATTTTTGTACAATTTAATAATTCATATATTAATCTAACATACCATGTATCTTCATAAATATCTTCATCATTTCTTGCATTATTCTTACATTTTTCAATTATAAAATGTGTGAATGAATCATTATTATAGTATTCTTCTTCTGTTCCTTCTAATTTTTTTTTGTCGTTTAACAAACTATTATTATCAAGCTTGTTTTTTTCAACCAATAAGTTATTTTCATTTTCTAAAAATTCGTAACTTTTTTCCTTTTTATCTTCATCATACTTATTTTCATTTTTATTCATATGTTCAGGATAATTTGTAAAATTTTCTCTTATTTTAGATTCATTTTGCTTAGGATATTTATTATTTATAAAATTAGTAAATATAGAAAAATTTCTAAAAAACATTAAAGATGAATAATTATCATTTTTTAAATTTTTACATATTATATTTTTGTAATTCCTATTAATTATAATATAACGCTTATTTTTTAAACAAATACTGTTAATAAATAAATTTAAAGAGTTTTTCTTTAATTGGCTATTTTGCAAATTATTTTGTAAATAAGTAAAGATCATGTTAAAAAAGAAATAAACATAAAAGATAAAATTCTAGATTTATTTTTATTTTTAAAAACATACTTTTTACATTATTAAAAATTAGTTAAAAAAAAAAATATATGTATTCATTACTTTAAAAGAAAAGAAAAACATGAAATGTGTTTAATAATATTTTATATATGTTTCCACATGGTTTTACAAATATTTAAAATATCTTTTATTTTCATTTTATAAAGAAAAAAATGAAAATTTTTAAATTTAAATAAATAATAATAATAAAAAATATCCTTTATTCATTAATAATAATATAAAATTTCACTTTGAAATTAAATGAAATGCGTTAAAGTTATAAATATACATAAAAAAAAAAAAAAAAAAAAAAAAAAAAAATTAAAAAAAAAGTATCTATATTTATAGAATCAATAATAAATATATATATATATAAAATTAATAAAGAAGTTATTTCACATCATTATATATTAAATGAATAAAGTAAAATTAAAACATATTCATATAAATATTATATTATAAAAAAAAAAAAAAAAAAAAAAAAAAAAAATTAAAAAAAAAGTATCTATATTTATAGAATCAATAATAAATATATATATATATAAAATTAATNTAAAAAAAAAAAAAAAAAAAAAAAAAAAAAAGAAATTATATAACCAAATGATATAGAATTAAACAAAACAAAATAATTTTTTATTTCAATATAAAAAAAAAAAAAAAAAAAAAATTACAAGGTATAAAATTATTTTGCTTTACACATAAGGTAGTTTTTTTACTTAAATGTATAAAAAAAAAAAAAAAAAAAAAAAAATATAGTGTATTTATAAGATATAATATTTATTTTTATTATTTTTGATATACATTATTCATTATAACAATCATAAAATTTTAAAAAGACATTTAAAAAATTATTAATATAAACAAATTAAAAACTAAAAAAAAATAAAAGTATATAAATATATAAGATTATTTGAACTACGAGTTAAACACCCTTACCCATACATATTAAAAGAGCTTTTTTTGTAATACAACAAAATATAAATTTCATATATGAATATAGATGATAAATTTTTAAATAAAAAAAAAAAAAAATAATATAAATAGAAATTTTTATATCAATTTTTTTTTTTTTAATTTTCTTTTAAAATTGAAAAGCATCATTTATATATAATTTACTTAACTCATACGAAATAACCGATGGAGAAAAAATACCAATATCTGTGTAAAAAAGTGTAATTAAATGATGAGGAACATATTCATATAAATAATTATTTTCGTTACATATATTTTGAGTACAATAATCATAAAAATCTTTAGCATATTTAATTTTATCTATCTTTAAAAATTTATATGCTTCACAAACAACATAAAATGGTTTTTTATTTAATGAACATAACTGGGATAATAATCTAATTCCTTTTTTACTTATTATTCCACCACTATCTATTACTAGTTCTGTTCCTATTACTACGAAGTCTATTATATTAAATATATTTTTAACACTTTGTAAATTTATTTTTGTTACAATAATATTTTCTTTTCTTAAATCTTCTATGAAAATATCATCAAACTTTTTATCTTTTTCACTATAATTAATAGAAGAATTTTCTAGTGAAGTAAAATAAACAAATACTTGTTTATTTTCATTTTTCACAACATTTAATAATAAGTTTTTTACGCATTTAGAATTACTATGTGTTAAAACTGTTGTTTTTCTATTAATAAACATTATGTTACTAGTGTTGCCAATTATGTCTAAGCTTTTTTCTAAATTCTTTGAAAATTCATTGGCGTTATTTGCTAATGTGTTTTTTAAATTATTGAAATACTTCAAAAAAAAAAAAAAAAAAAATATTAATAATAAAATTAAAATTAAAGTTTTATAAAATTAATTAAATATATAAATAAATTAATGTATATTATGAAAATATGTTTAATTATTTTATTACATTTTCATTGTGTGTATATTTTTTTACTACAAAGTGATGATAAATATCACAAGAAGAAACAATTGTGTATATAGTCATTCTTTTAGAATGAGGTACAGATATAATATTATTTTGCACATCATTATTTTTTATATAATTATTTAAAATATCTTTAGCTTCATTTAAATTAATAAATAACTCAAAATTTGTTTCTGATATATTATTTTTTATAACACTAAAAGGATTAAATAAAAAAAAAAAAAAAAAAGTACTAAAATATATATATTTTAATATTATTAGTTATTCTTGATATCATTAAAATTTATGAATTGCATTTTATTTACAAAATATATTATTAATTAAGCTACTATTAAATTTTATAAAACTCAACTAATTCTTTTCCTATTATTAATATAATATTGTCGCCTCAATTTTTATTATGTTATATTTATCTTGTATACATATATTTATATATCTTATTTCAATTTATATTCTATATATCAAATCTTATTTTAGCATCTATCTTATATATATATATATTTATATATATATTTATATATATTTATATGTAAATATGTATATACGTAAATCTATAAATATTTATATTTATCTTATGTTTTTTTTATGAATTTTCTCATTTTTAAAATATAGTTCTAGTTTTAATATATTTATTGAATGATTTTTTTTTAATAAATGTTAATTACTCTGCTAATGATTTTATTGCAGCTATATGCATCTCGTTTTCCTCTTCAAAATAATGTTTCTTAAAACTACGAACAACTACAAAATAAATAAAAAAAAAATAATAAATATATTATTATATAAAAATAAAAATATAATGAGATTTTTAAATATGAATTGATATTTGAAAAAATTAAATGGATTTTGAAGAACAAATAATTAAAATATTATGTAAAATACCTTCATGTTCTTCTAATAAATCTCTTTTAACATAATTAAAATAATCCATTATAAATACAATATGTTATTAAAAAAAATAAATTTCAGATAATACACATATTTTCTGAAATACTAATATTTTTATTTTTTTTATATTTTTACATTTTTTTTTCTCTTTTTTAATATTTTTCTTAATGCGCATAAAAATTCTGCACTGAAAATCTTTATATTTCAAACAAATGAAATATTTTTACCATAAATAAAATTCAAAAGTGAAAAAAAATAATAAAGAAATAACATATCATTATAGAAGTTAATGTTTCATAAATATATAATTTTTTTTTTTCTTTTTTTAACTTTATAATGTTCCTTATTTTTTAAAATAATAGTTTCTTATTTAAAGAAATATATAAGAATAAGTAGAGGATAATAATATATCCATTTATAATATAATTATTAAATCTAAGATAAAACAAAAAGAAAACTAATTTGTAAAATTAATTTTTTTAATATATAGTAAGACAGTTTTATAACTATAATTTTTTTAAAATTTGTAAAAAAATTGATAGAATATATATATAAATTGTAATTAAGAATATATATATATATATTTTAATAAAACAATAACTTTGTGTAAATTATTAAAAAAAAAATTTATGAAAAAGAGATTAATATTTTTGAAAACTTAAAAATATTCTATATATATATATATTTTTTTTTTTTTTTTACTTAATAATTAGGTTAATCTAAAATTAAAAATAGTAAAAGTAATAAATGTACATAAAAATATATATATGTAAACAATTACAAAATTAAAATAAAAAAAATTGAAGACTAATAAAATGAAAAAATAAACTTTAAATCTTTATAAATATTATAGGGGTTTCATGATCAAATAAAATTTAATTTCATTTTTTTCCTGAATGCAAAAGCATAAAAAAAAAAATTTTTTTTTACTATATTTCATTCTATTTTATTTGTTTCAAATACTTAAATAAAAATATTGATAATTTAACATGTAAAATTAATTTAATTAAAAAAAGTATAGAGAAAAATGAAGAAATATAATTTAAAATTAGGCTATAACTAACATAAAAAAATAAATAATATATTTTAGAAAAATGGTGCTAAAAATAAAAAATAAAAAAAAAAAAAAAAAATATGAAATACAAAAATATAAAACAAGATATTAATAAAAATTTAATTTATTTAATTAAAAATTTTTTTCTTTTTTTTTTTTTTTTTTCTAATGCTCAGCTTACATACATCAATAATATTTTTAAATCTTTTAGAATTATTTTTTACAAGTTTACAACTTTTGATATAATTCATTTGATTTCTTAGATTACTTTTGCATATGTTTGTTATTGTCTTTTTATCTTTAATTTTTAACTTTTTATTTTTTCTATCGATATTTATATTTTGAATTTCTTTATCTTTCCTAGTTTTACTTTTTATTTCTTCATATTTTACTTTTTTTTTTTCTAAAACCTTGCATTTATTATCTATGTTTTTAGTCTCTTTTTTTCCTTGTTTAATATTTAAGTGTAATTTTCTTATTACTTCATCTTTTACTTCTTTTCTTTTTATTTTATTATTTTGTTCATATTTTGATTTTTTCTGTTTGTTTTTGTGTTTTCCTTTATCTATTACTATATATTTTTCAAAATAAATATCCTTATTTTTTTTTTTTATTTTTACCTTTTTATCTTTTCTAATATTTTGTTCCTTTTCTTCTATTTGCTTCTGTTTTTCTATTTTATTTTTATTTTTTTTTAAAATGATATTTTCATTATTTGGATAAGCATTTTGTCTAAAAAAATTAATAATTTCTTTTGATGGTTTCTCTTCATTTAAAATATTTTTATCTTCAAATAATTTTTTTTTGTTTTCTATTTTTTCTGTATCTTTTGAGATAGAGATTCTTTCATATCCTTGTTCTTTATTTATTACTAATCTATCATTTCTTTTTGCACCTAAAATGTATATATTTTTATGATTAGTTTTTATATAAAAGGAATTATTATAATTCTTAATTTTTTCTACTATAACTGGATTAGTATTCGTATCCACCTTTTTGTAATTATTTAATTCACCTTTTAAATTAATATGTTCTATTTTTTCTATAAAAAAAAAAATAAAATAAAATAAAGAAAATTTTCTATTTTTTTTTATAAAATATTTTTATATATGGATAATATTTATTTTATATTATTTTTTTTATTACCATCATATTGCTTTTTCTCTAAATTAGAATTTAAACTTTTAGTAACAATTTTATCGTTTGTTTTCACATTACAATGATTGTTTATTTCTTTATTGTGAACACTTTTATTAATAACATGATAAATATTTTTCGTGTCATTTTTAAGCTTAATTGTATTTACTTTATTTAAGAAAAACTCCTTATTTATTTTCAATTTATTTAAATAACGAATATTATTACTATTCTCTTTATTTTTATCAACATTTTCTTCTAACATTTTTACTTTATGATTTGTGATTAGTTTATAACTAGTTTTATTTTTAAGTGAAAATCTATTGGTATTACATAATTTTAAGTAAGAAATATTACAATCATTATTTTGACTAGTTTTAAAATAGTTATCCTCTATGTTGCTGTTTTTATTAATTTTATTATTATTATTATTATTATTATTACTATTATAAGAATTTTCTACAATTTTCTTCTTTATATTATTATTTTTAATATTTCTTTTGAATATTTTATTATTTCTTTTTAATTTTGTATTTCCTTCTTTGTTGAAAACATTGAGAAAGTGGTTATTTGTTTGTCTCAAAAAATATTTATCACTGTTTTTTTTTTTATCTGTTTCTTTTTTAATATTTAGAATATATTTATTAAAAATTAATCTTTTTTTTTCATTTGTAAAAACATTATTATTAGAAAAATTTATATTTTTTTCATCATTAATACAAATATGTTTATTATCTTTTGCTTTTAATTTACAGATCATATTAGGGTTTATATTTAGAAATATATTTTTTTGGGACATATTCTTATTAAAATTAATTTGTATATTATTTGTCTTTTTTTCACTAATTTTTTTTGATAATATATTAAAAATTATATCTTTACTGTCATTTTTTAAATTGTGTTTTGTTAAATTAAAATTTACAGATTTACATTTCGTTTTTTTATATATAGTAGAATTTTGTATAATACTTTTTTCATTTAAATTTTTATTATTTTTTTTTTCATCATTATTCTTTAAAGCAGTAGTATTAACAATTTCATTTTTTTTTTCATCATTATTCTTTAAAGCAGTAGAATTAACAATTTCATTTTTTTTTTCATTGTTATTATTTAAAACAATAGAATTAACAATTTTTTTTTTTTTTTCATCATTATTATTTACAACAATAGAATTAACAATTTTTTTTTTTTTTTCATCTTTATCATTTTTTATCTTAATATTTATTCCACAAGTCAATTCCTGGCTCAGTTTTCTTTCATAATATAGTGTCTTGCATTCATCTAAAAAACTAACTTTTTTCTTTTGTTTTTTTAGGTTATTCTTATTAAATATAGATTTAATATTTGATACTTTTGCAATATTTAAATTACTTTCCTTTTTTAAATTATATTTATTCACTTGATTATTATAATATATATAATTATTATCTCCAGTTTTTAAGATAATTTTGTATATTTGATGATTATCACTTTTGCAATTATTTTCTTTTAATGTATAATTATCTTGATATACCTTATTTATTCCATTCAAAATATTTTCTTTATTTTTGTTTATATAATCATATTTTGTGTATAAAGAATTATTGTATTCTTCATTATATATAAGATTATCTTTTATATTATTAGAATACATTTTTATTTTTATCATAAATTTAGATATTGATTATTTTTGCAATTACCTTTTATGTATTCTTCTTTTTTAATTCATTACATTATTGATACTTTTATAACTATAAAAATTATTTTATATCTACATTTTCATAATATATTAAAACTTTCAATTCTTTTATGAATAATTAAAAAGTCTTATTTTTATTTTTTTTTTTTTTGATTTATTGTCTTTTCTTTTTGTTTTTAATTCTTTAAAAAAATAATTTGCATGTTGGCAACTACTTATAATAAAAAAATAAAATATGAATAATTAAATAATTAAAACACTTTTAATTTTTTGTATTTTGAACTGTAGTTTTTTTTTTTTTTATATCTTATCAAAAAAAAGATAAAATAAATCTTTTTATTTTTATAAGATCTTGAAATAAAAGCATGACATACTGATATAATAAAAAGTAACAAATAAAGATAAAATAAGGAAATAATATCAACATGTTTGATTTATATGTATATAGTTTTTTTACTTAAAAACTTAATATTTTAGTATTATTTTTAGAACTCTTTTATACAGAGAATCATTTTAACTAAAATTAAATTATAAGAAAAAAAAAATAAAAAAACATAACTAAATAAGAGTAATAATGCATATATAAAATTTTAAAGTGATTTATAAATAATAAGAAATTATTTATTTTTTTTTGTAGTTGTAATTAAAAATTACAACCTTCAATTCATTAAATTAAAAAAAAAAAAATTAATTTTATTATAGCAAAATGTCTAATAGTTATATATGAATTAAGATCATTTTATTTTATATATAAGTATATATTTTATTTTTAATAATAGCTTATAATATTAAATAATAGAGTTAATGTATTTAGATTAAATCTATTAAATTAAAAAAAAGAAATATAAATTTCTCTTATTTTATAAATTCTTATATTCTTTTTTTTTTTTTTTGTATTATTCTATATATACATTTATGAGAAATTTTACATTCCATCTAAAAGAAAAAATTATATCTAGATGTTATTTAATTTTCAAAATCTTATGAAAAAAAATAATATATTAAAAAGGAGGAATAATAAAAAAAAAAAAAAAAAAAAAAAATGATTATTCAAGAATAAACTATAAGAAAGGCTAAAATTGAAATTTCTTATCTATTTTTTTAATATTTATTTATTAGTATTTTTTTTATATTATAATTCATGTGCATCTATTTATATAATTATAAATGTTAATTCTATAACTGATACTTTTTTTTTTTTTTTTTTTTTTTTTACGCATACTTTCTTATATTTCAATGCTAAAAGGTGCAGAAATTGAAGAATAAATATAAAAGAATTTTATTTATAGAGCCTTTTCATTAATAGAATATAATATTATACTTATTTTTTTTATATATATAATTATTTTTATTTAAATTACAAGAAAAATTCATTAGCAAAAAATAAAAAGTAAAATTAATATGATTTCTTAATTTTAATATAGGAAAATAAAATCATCATTTAAATTACTAAAATATATATTAAAATTTATACTTTTAAATAAGTATCTAATATAATAAAAATGTAAAATAAATATATGTATTAATTATGTTTTTTCGTTTATATACATATGCATAATTTTATTAAGAATTTTATATTTTAACAATAAATTTTAAATTAAAATATGAAAACATTTAACATTTAATTTCCTCTTTAGAAAGAGGATATTCTCTATTATACATTTTTTATTATAATATTTAAAATACTGATTATAGATTAAAGAAAAAAATTTTAATTTCATAAAAAAAAAAAAAAATTTTCTCAATTGTTTTTATATTATGGAAATACTTAAAAATTAAATATTAGATTTATTAAAAATATGAATAACAAAAATAAAAATTTTATGTAAAAAAAACAAAACAAAACAAAAAAAAAAAAGACAGAAAAATATTTAAACTTTATATATTTTTTAGTATTATTCTAAGATAAGGAATAACAAAAATATATATATATATATATATAAATTAATTTGAGAATTAGTGAAAAAGTTTCTTAAGATTCACAAAACTTAATTTTTTAAAAATTATAATTAAGATTAAAAATTAAGATATTTCTTTTTATATAATAAAAAATTTCATATTAAAATACAAAAATCATAAAAATTTTTGCATAATAATTCCTTCTATACAACTTTTTATTTTAAATATCATCTTAAACAATGATACTATATCTATATTTACAAATATTCTTTATTTTAGTTTAATATATATTTTATTTTTCTTTTTTTATAATTTCCTTTTTAAAAATTAAAATTTTATCCTTTTCAATTTTTACTTTTTTGAATAAAAAATTCCTAATCATAGTAAAAAATATATTCGTTAAATTATTCTACTCTTATTCAATTAATTTGGATTTCTTCAGATGTATTTTTTTTTTCATTTTGTTCAGAACTTTTAGATGATACATAATCAGTTATTTCATAACTAATATTTTCGCAAGGATCTTTATATTTATGTAAATCTTTATTATTAAAATTGGGTAGGATATACATAAAAAACAATGGAATTAAATTTGTAAGGCAGCAAATTATTATCATTAATGATAAGTTTTTAAAATTAGTTGACGTTATTCCTAGTACATATGTTAATAATGATGAAAAAAAAGAACTTATAATTAATGCTAAATTATTTGCTGATAGTAAAAGTGAATAAATAGTTGATTCTAGTCCTTCTGGTGTTACACGTGAACATAATACTAATAAAGGTATAGTCTGAAATTCACCGATAAATTCTATTAAAATTGTATCTGTTATGATAAATACACTATCAGGAATATAAAGGTAATTGTTTAATTTATTTACAACCACTAATGGTAATAAACAAAACGGTGTTATTATAATTGTAGAATAAAATAGCAATTTCCCTATGTCTACTTTACTAAAAAAAAGCATATAAAATAATATAGCTATTAAGCTAGCTACTGATTGAAACATAGCCATTTTACCTAATAGCTGTACACCAAATTTTAATTCATTAGTCATAAAAAAAAACAATGTGCTTCCACAGGATGGTGTTGACATCATTATAAATATATAAATAATGAAATTTTTAATGTAGGGAATTTTTAATATATCATAGATACATTTCATTTGTTCTTTTACGCATGTTTTTTTACAATTTTTCTTTTCTAGTATAAAAAATGCAGAAACAAAAACGCATATTGGCAAAAACGATCCAACTAAAAATATATGTTGCTTATTCATAATAGATAATAAAAATCCAGATAAATAAGACATTAATGCAAAACTAAGTTTTCTAAAGGCAAAAAAAGCTGAAATATTTTTGGCTGAATTACTAATAGATCCTTTTCTACTTGACTCTACTACTTGAGCTTCACCTATAACATTACAAAGAGAACTTCCAAAAAAAAAAATTATTAATAAACATATAGTTAATATAATATTTGTATGATTTATTAATCCAAGGGTTATTAAAGATATGATACATGAAAGGGATCCCAATAATAAATAATATTTTCTTCTATAACCAAATATAGGATAACTATCTGATAATATTGCCCATATAAGTTTAACAGACCATGGAATTTTTATTAAACTCATTACTACACTTAAAGATGCTAAAAAAAAAAAAAAAAAAAAAAAAAAAAAATTACATTAATGTTAATAAACTTTCGAAATACATTTAATATATACTTATTTTGTACACTATATATTAATTTTTTATTTTTATATTTATAAATATATATTTCGTATTTTAAAAATGCTTATTTTACCAGGGTCTAATTTATAGTTATCTTTAAAAAGAAACAAAATTGAAAAATTACACAACACTTCTACCCCTTGTAGCATAGCTACATAAAATAAAATACACACATAAAAAATATATTTACATGAATATATAAATTAATATATTTTTATAAACCTATAAGGCTAGAAGACATTTTATTAAAAATTGAATCTACATTAACATAGTCTTGATCAATTATTTTTTTTTCAATTAAATGACTATTTTCATTATAGGAACTATAAGATGCAACTAAAGGTTAAAAAGAAAACATATTCGTGTTTTTTTTTTTTTTTTTTTTTTAATTTAAAATATACATATAAACATAAGGCTTTTATAAATAGAACATTATAATCTTCTTTTGTTCACATACTTTTGTACATAAAACCAAAAGTGTTTATATATAAACTTATATATTTACATATATATAGAGGAATAAGTTAAAATTAATAAAAAAAAAAAAAAAAAAGAACATTTTATATTTAAGTAAATACTATGAAATTAAATGAAATGTATTAATTAAAATAATATAATTTTTCCTATTTTTGATGTTTTATTTTTATAGTTAACATTTAGTTTCCTTTTTAAATTGTATTTTATTATTAAAATTAAGTATAATATTATTGTTTATAGAATTATCATTTATATATAAATTAATGAAAACATATTTATTTATCTAAGAGGAAAATTTATTTTTTTTTCTTGTAAGCATACTTGTACCAGTGCTACAGGTTTCATAGCTGTCTTTTTTCTTCAAAAAATCGTTATCCTGTTGTTCCATTATATTAATATAATTAAGAAAAAATTAAAATAATTTTAAAAAAGGATAACGTTTATAATCTATCAATTTTTATTTTAAATCAATAATGTATGTCGATAAACTACGCACATAAATTTTTGAAGTGGATATTAATTTTTTATATATATAGAATTTCCAAATAAAATAGAGTGAATTAAAACAATAAAAAAGAAAGATATTTATAATAAATTTTTGAAAAGAAACAAATAAAGAAGAAATAAGAAATAAGGAATTATATTTTTATTTACACACAATAATTAATATTTAAAATTTATATGAAATAGATAAAAAAAGAAAAAAAAAAAAAAAAAAAATAACAAAAAAACATATCATCTTACACTTTAAAAGAATTTTTTATACATAATTAAAAAGGAAATTTATCAATATATCTATATAATAAAAAAATAAACGCATAAAAATACAATAAAAATCAAATACTTTATTGTAATCATTTAGTTAATGTATAATATTAAATTTATATACATAATAAAAATAAATGTGTATTCATATGATATATTTGTTTATTCAGTTATGATAAAATAATATACAGTTTAAGTTTATTTTATTTTTTAATGAAAAAAATAAAAATAAAATAACCAAATGTAAGAATCTACTTAACAAAAGTAGGAAAAAGAAAAACAAAAAGGTAAAACAAATTAAATAAAAAAAAATCAAAAATATCTATCA